TCTTTCAGGAAATGATAGTAACTTATGATATAACATATCTGCATCATGAAATTGTTTGGTTGAATATGTGATGTAAGTTTTTGTAATTATTATTTGAAACGATACGAATAAAGAAAATGAATAACACTGTTATTTTATTATCTTTATGGTTTAGTTCTTAGCCTTTCTGCTTATTCCCATTTATACAAATCATTATGTTGCAGTTTGATGTTAGTTCTTCATAATAAGCCAATTGTTCTTCTTCAGGTGGCTCCGTGAGTCCCTTAAAGTCAGTGAAAACAAAGTACTCGAATGAGACGGGGTGTTTTACACACAAATATATATATATATATATATATATATATATAATTATAGTAAAGCTACATACACTTAACTGAAGGAAAGAAACCTATAGAAAACGGACTGGATATTATTGAAAATACTATTCTAAACAAGAATGTACTACATTATGTTACAATTTCACGAGAGAAATAGAACTCGAGAGGGGGAGAAGAGAAGAAGTGATGAAATTGAAAAAAGACTAATAGCATGAGAGGAAAGAAAAGAGCCAAGAAGACAAGAAAAGGGTGTAAAAAGGAAAAGGAGGAGCAAGAGATAAAGAGAGAGAGATAGCCTTGAGCTTTGGATCAGCTAATGAGTAATACATGAAACAGATTTTGAGTGGAGTAATTATCTTTCGCCGGAGAACTTGCATATAAAGGAGCTATAATTTGATTTTCTCTTTTTAATCAAACATGGGGAATAGCAAAAAAAACGGCTGAGCATTTATTGCACTAATTACCAGAAATTGACTAGGAGGTATGCGCGTATTGGGGAATGTGGCTTGCTGCTCTACTTTTTTTTAAAAACTTCCCACGACATGTAATGAGTGTTTAGTGTACATTATATGGGACGTACAGTGATAGATGGAAAGTTATTTCAGTATATTCGAAATGACTTTTAGGTAACTCCTTTTTCTTCCCACTTCATCAACATTCATTCATTTCATTTCATCTACATTATTTCATGAAATGCATTCAGAAAATGAAGAAGAAAAAAAAAGAAACGAAAATAACCCGTGTAAAAAAAATATTGTCGGCGAAGCATTTGTCGTAGTACTAGTAGCATTTGTAGTTTGGGACACTTTTTGGTCGGAGCAAATGTCGTCGGAGCAAATGTCGGCGGAGCAATTGTCACTTCAGGCGGAGCAATTGTCGGCGGAGCAATTGTCGGCGGAGCAAATGTCGGCGGAGCAATTGTCACTTCAGGCGGAGCAATTGTCGGCGGAGCAAATGTCGGCGGAGCAATTGTCACTTCAGGCGGAGCAATTGTCGGCGGAGCAATTGTCGGCGGAGCAAATGTCGGCGGAGCAATTGTCGCTTCAGGCGGAGCAATTGTCGGAGGAGCAATTGTCGGCGGAGCAAATGTCGGCGGAGCAATTGTCGGCGGTGCAATTGTCGGCGGAGCAAATGTCGGCGGAGCAAGTGTCGCTTCAGGCGGAGCAAATGTCGGCGGAGCAAATGTCGGCGGAGCAATTGTCGCGTTTTGCGGAGCAATTGACGGCGGAGCAATTGTCGGCGGAGCAAATGTCGGCGGAGCAATTGTCACTTCAGGCGGAGCAATTGTCGGCGGAGCAAATGTCGGCGGAGCAATTGTCACTTCAGGCGGAGCAATTGTCGGCGGAGCAATTGTCGGCGGAGCAAATGTCGGCGGAGCAATTGTCGCTTCAGGCGGAGCAATTGTCGGAGGAGCAATTGTCGGCGGAGCAAATGTCGGCGGAGCAATTGTCGGCGGAGCAATTGTCGGCGGAGCAAATGTCGGCGGAGCAAGTGTCGCTTCAGGCGGAGCAAATGTCGGCGGAGCAAATGTCGGCGGAGCAATTGTCGCGTTTTGCGGAGCAATTGACGGCGGAGCAATTGTCGGCGGAGCAATTGTCGGCGGAGCAATTGTCGGCGGAGCATCTGTCGGCGGAGCAATTGTCGGCGGAGCAACTGTCGGCGGAGCAACTGTCGGCGGAGCAACTGTCGGCGGAGCATTTGACGTCGGAGCAAATGTCGCGGAGCAAATGTCGCGGAGCAATTGTCGCGTTTTGCGGAGTAAATGTCGGCGGAGCAATCGTCGGCGGAGCATGTGTCATGGAACCGTCCGGGGACGTAGTAGTTCAATCCTCGTTGGATACAATTTTCTAGGTACAATAATAATCAACACAATAACAGCATGTGTGTATACCAATATTAAAACAGCTCACTGATTCCCGCACAGGAAAATCAGAAGAGCGCCAATCAACTACAGCGCGATTGGTTCAAAACACGCGCACATGTATGTTAATTAAGCACGTGATCTAAATACTTATGAATAAATACGCGTACATCTATGTTAATTCATCATGTGATGAAAATACTAATGAATAAACATCGTTATATAATAAATCGAGTTAAAACCAGTTCTGAGGACATGGCGTAATACCAAATCCTCAAACTCTCAATGACTTCTAAAGCGGCCATTTTGGATTAAAAACACAATATGTATACCAGTGAATTATAAATGAATGCACTGTAACATTAGTCGCTACAATACACTTACATGTACATGCAAATGCATGATCATTTTTGCGCTTCTTGCTCCCAGCAAGATAGTTTCCTTCTACATTTAATTTTGTTGCTGTTGTGAGTTTATATTCATATTTTTGTTATCAAACAGGAATAAATAAATTAATATATAAATACATTTGTACAATGATAGTTGTACAATGATGATAGAAGAACCAATAAAAATCGCAACTGATTTTCCTTAATTCCTTTTCTTTGATATATGCTGTATTATTATTATTATTCTTCTTCCTCTTTGTTTTCTGTCCCTTTCTCTCCTCTTTCCCTTTCACTTCCCTTCTCCTACTCTCTCTCTCTCTCTCTCTTTGCTGAGAGAGGGGGGGGGGGGGTGGGGGGTAGGGGTACAAACCGGGACAAATTGCAACTGATCTCCCGTACCTTTCTTCTTCCTCTTTTTCCCCCTTTCCCTTCCCTTACTTCGCTCTCTCTCTCTCTCTCTCTCTCATTTAAGTTTGCTGAGGGAGGCAGGGGCCTTTCGCCCCCTCTCCCCGATCCACACGATGTTGGTGGGATTAATCGCAACTGATCTCTGCCTCTTTTCACCCTTTTCTTTTCTTCTTCCTCTTTTGTGCTCCATTTTGGCTCTCCTCTTTCCCTTTCCATTCTTTCTCTCTTTTTTTGGCGGGGAGGGGGTGGGGGGGCAGAGGCAAAGGCCTTTCTCCGCGATCTACATCTTGTTTGCAGGAAAATTGCAACTGATATCCCTTTTCTTTTCTTTTCTTCTTTTGTTTCTTTCCCTTTCCTTCCTTCTCTCTTGTTTATCGGGGGGGGGGGAGGCAACAGCATGGGCGGCAAGGCCCTGTCGGACCCCTTTTTTCTTTTCTTCTTCCTTTCCTCTTCTCTCTTCTTTCCCTTTCCCTTCTTTTCCTTCCTTCTCTCTCTCTCTTTTTTTTGTTTGCTGAGGGGCCAGGGGAGGGTAGGCGAAGGCCTTTCGCCCCCGATCCACACCGCGTTGGTGGGAAAAATCACGATTGATCTCCGTACCTTTCTTTTCTTTCCCTTCCCCTTCTCTTCTTTTCTCTCTCTTTTAAGTTTGCTGTAGAAGGGGGAGACAAGGGCCATTTGCCCCCCCCCCGATCCCCTGAGCCTTTCGCCCCCGATCTCATTTGTTCTCGCACCAATAGTCCGCCTGCCGCACCGAATGTCCGTACTCTAGTCCACACGTATACATATTCAATAAAAGTATAATTATACTTAATGAATGAAACGACTGGTACCCATATTCAGCTTTGCCAGCTAGCTAGGGATGATCGACACTCAGTGGTGGATCCAGGGGGGGGGGGGGGGCCCGGCCCCCCCCCTTCGTATATTCGCGCCTGAGTGACACCAACATAAACTGACCTTATTTATTACCGAACAAAAAATAACGAAAGAGGCCCCTCGACACCATAGATGTAAGTATTCAGCCAGTTGCTACCCCCCCCCCCCCCCCCACCAAAATAAACTTTAAAAGTGATTTGTTTTTGTTTTTTGTTCTAATTTGATACCAGTGATTTACAGATGTTGCTGAAATGGTCCAATTTTTCGGGATTTTTTCCTCACTTTTTAGTAAATTATACTTTTTATGCATTTGTTGGAGAATGACAAATATCAAAATTTACAGCCAGGCAAGAAATGTGCTTATTCAATATTTAGAGGCCTACATGTAAGGTCCCGTGGAACGGCGGGCTTGGGGGCTCAAGCCCACCCCCCCCCCCCCCCCCCCCCCCACCCCCACACTTTTGAAAAATGATATTAAAGAGAATTAAATAGAAAGAAATAGAAAAAGAAAGTATGCTCATGTGACCGTAATTAAATGCCCATACCCCTGAGCTTCCAGGGGATTTGCCCCCTGGACCCCACCTTGGGACCTAAGGCTGGCGCCTAGATGCTAATCTGACCTTTATTTGAATGCCCAAAACCCCTGCGCTTCCGGGGGCTCCGCCCCTTGGACCATACACCATTTAGGTATTAAAATATGCTCATCTGACCATAATTAAATGCCCCACCCCCTGAGCATCTGCCAATTTGTGCTACGCGCTACCTTATCTTAAATACTCTAGCCTCCCCCACTCACTTTCAACCCAATTTTTAATTACTTTTATTTCCCATTTAACTCCTTCATTAAACCTCGAAACGCCCCCAAATACTTAGGGCGGGGCCTGGATCACGAGTATATATATATATATATATATATATATATATTTATACTAGTAGTGAGTTGGTTGAAGTACGAAGCCACGTTTAAAAGTATAATCGATTACAACAGTTGTGGGGCCGATATCACGAGTATGTCTTCATAGAATAAAGGTTTTAAAGAAAATATTCACTTCTACTTTCAAAAGGACTGGCCCATTTGCTTTAAAAAAATTGTAGAGTTATTATTATGTAATTTTTAGAAAAAATGTCAACCACATGATGAGTCTAAATACCTTGATTTGCCGAGTTGCTTCCTTTTATCAAATATACACGTAAAACAATGGGGGGACAGAATGTGCGGATAGCATACCGCATATTATGTCCGACGGACAAACGAAACTGGTAGGACAAACGGCGCGGTCACACCGGCACCAAAACAACGGAAATCATACTATCTGGTAAGATACCATGAATCGAAAATCCGGAAATGCACATTGCAAGCAAGGGCATGAGTTTCGGACTTGCAAACTTTAAATGTTCAGCTGTTATAGTATCAAGGCTACATGACTTATTGTCATCTAATTTTCTAATAGCTTCTTTAACCTCCTCAGGAGAGATAACCATATTTACATCAAAGTCAACATTAGTAACATCCTAGCTGCACCGTACTCTGTACACAATTAAACAAATCCTTATAATGGCTACACCACAATTCACTTATTTTTTCATCACTAGAGATACCTTCAATATTAGTTGGAAGAGGCGCTTTACTATTATTAACACATTTAATTTCTTTCCAAAATTCATAATAACTTTTACCCTGCAATTACGAGCAACAGAGTCCGCCCGCATGACTTTCTCATTATTCTTAATAAAACGGCGAGCATACTTGAATCGTGCATTGGCCCTCATTTTTTAGCTCAAATAACCGTCCCTGTGTGTTTTGCCAGCTTCAACCCAGAGTAGGTGAGCCTCATGAGCAGCAGAGTGGAGCTCTGACACATGCTCATTCCAGCCAGGCCTAGTATTATGAACCTTGTTTTTACAGTGATATAGAGATTCACTAGCATCACATAAGCATTTCACAATATCATCATATGTATTAAATACATAATTAACATGTTCATTGTTCACACAATTAGAATCTCGACATAAAAAAGCATTGTGTGCATGTACATTAATTCCCTCAAGCATAGTATCACAGCAATAATTATACCTACGATTTATATCAATCTTAGTCCAATCTAGCCTGCCTTTATGTACAGTGTTAGCCATGCCTGAATCACGTTGCCCAGGCGAATTGTCAACATCAATTGATAAATTAATAGGAATATGATCAGTTGTAGCAAATCTATACATAATTTCCATCTTCTCTATAGAGGCATTAGCATCTGCTGTACATATACAATGGTCCAACCATGACGTGGTATATGCCATGCTTCACTAACATAAGTGTAACTATCTGCAGGTAAATAATGCAGACTTGATAACACAAAATTATTATCACAACAAAATTGTCTCAAATGATTTCCAAATAAGGAACTATTGTCAGATATGTCTGCATTCCAATCACTTACCACATAAACACTGGTAGTGTCTAGCTCAGAAATAACCGCCGCAATAAATCCTATTTTCTCAAGATAATCACTTTCATTTACAGGACACTCATAAGGAGTGTATATATTAATGATGACAAATTTCTTATCATCAGTTTTGAATTCAATCCCTACAGCCCAATCAACATTTAATCTAACTTCACTAATTAAGTGTTCATATCTAGTGTGCCAGAGTATAGCCACCCCACCAGGCCGGTATACGACCCCGAACCAGACCATTTCTGAGATCTGTAGTAGATTCACCAATACCATGATATAACGAATGTAAAGAGTTATTTCCATTTAAATCTTGCTTAGCTAACCAAGTTTCTTGAAGACAGACGATGTCTACCTCATCCTGAAATAGTTTTTCAATGACAAGACGACGAGATTTCTCTGCACTGCTCTGCCCAAGACGCAGCCCACGACAATTATAACTAACACAATCGAAGTTAATTTAAAAAGGTTAGCATAATCCAAGCTAGGGCTCTCTCTGGGTCTTCTCTTCGAGTATTGAATGACTACTGCTCACAGGTCCAGAAGACTCTAAAAGTGTCACAGACCCCTGCTTCCGAGGCTCATAGAACCTCCTAACAAAAATACCATCTGGCCAGATATCAGGTGCATACATCTCCGACGTCATTGCATAAAGCGGTAACCTGGAACGATGAGAAACGAGCTTTCTCCTTTTCTATCTTTCGACACTTAACAGAGTCATTCAGCCTTTCGTTTAGGTACTCCTGTAGTATGGTAGAATCAAGATCAGGGTCGAACCGAGTAGCAAAGACATTGACCTTCTTAGTCTTGACAGCTTGTATTTTCCCTACAGTGGCTGTCCCAACTATACCCGGCTTCTTTTTGGGCTGTGGCCTTTCCTGGGGTTGTTTTTGGGCCTGGCTAGAGTTGGGCTCAATATAAGGGGCCTTACGTTTCCCACCCCGACGTACCACCTGGCTCCAAAGATCCTCACTCCGCACTTCTTGTGGTACTGGTACAGTAGACATGGTGGGCGTGGAACTAGAAGCTTATTGCACGTACCGTAGAGATATATAGCCGACACACGTGAATCCATCTCGGATGTAACTATAGTTGAATATCCTCAGTAACTTTTGCCTGGCACATAACAGATTTCTTCAGTGCTGTCATTTCACCCTCTAGTTTCTGAAGTCTTCCCAGCAAGGCTGACACATCGAGGCTGTCAAAACTAACAGGCGGGAGCCTGTTCAGGTCCTTTGCAACGAAAGTCGGAGCCTTGTCACCACATTCGAGAAGCAATTTAATCATTGCTTTAACATTATTAATGTCCATTGTAGGGCCTTTGTGCAAAATATTCCTCTGGGTACCAAAATCACCACATGCATCAAACAGCCTCTTAGTACTTTTTATTAATAGATACCATTGTTCTTCTTGTTTTGTTTTATTTGGTCTTGTGTTTTTCCATCTTCTCCTTTTTTTTCTACTAGTTTTTCTTCTTCCTCGTCTTCTTTTTCTTTTTCTTTTCTGGTCCCCATGGAAGATCAGCTCCATTACATGTTTCTGTTACTTTATACTGCGGTGGGAGACTATAAAATCTCGCCAAAAATTCCGTACTCGTGTTATGATGTTTAAAATCCTCTATAACATGACGCCAAATTATTTAACTGAAAACAAATTTTATACCCCAGGCCTTATCATCTATAATACAATAATGTTTCTCTTCCCAAACGCCGAACAGACAACTGCAAACGCTTTTTATACTACAGGGAGGCTAAGTTATACAACACTATAACAACAGCATTCCCCAACCTATTCGCAACTGCACATCTCTATGCTTATTTCAATGATCTCTTTCACACGTAATTTAAATAATACCGTGAGACCTTAATATCATTTTATTTTAAATACCACTGTTCTCTTTATTTGTATGTTGTTTGTCTTGCTTTTTATTCTTCCATTTTCTTCTTCGTTTTCGACTCCTTTTTCTTCTTTTTCTTTCTGGTTCCCATAGAAGACCAGCTGCACTATGCAAGTTGCAACTGAGAATGGGCTATCCAGCCGTCTGTTTCTCTGTTTTTGTTTACTTCGATGTACATTCTTCCGTTCTTTTTGTTGTTCTTTTTCAATTTAATACCATATGATGTGTCTTGCGTAATGTAATCAGTGTATTCCGTATATGTTAATGAATTTGTTATTTTCTTTTTATTGTATATTCTTTTGACATGACGCAAAAAAACCTGACGTAAATCAATCTCGAAAACTGCCCCTTACAAAATCTTCAAAGGGGACACACATTGCCTTTATATTTATGGGACCCCCCCCCCCCCCCCACCCCCCGCTCTCCTAAAAAAAGCAACCCTTATTTACATCTAACTCGAAACCTAGCTACCCCTTACCAAATCTTGAAAGGAGACACACATTACGTAATATATCAATGAGATACCCCCCAACAAAGGAAAAATGAGCAAGCAGTATGAGCTGTATTATCAGATTGGGTCTTGGATCAATAAGCCGGTTATTTTATTACCATTGGGCTTTACCCTGTCTTCCATCCTAAACAGAAGTGTCAAAGCTGAAATCTACACATTATGGCCTAGTCCCACATCCTTCACTCTTATCCTGCTCATAGGAAATGTTCTAATTGTGTCCACAATGGTTGGTTTTATTGACGGAAACGTCTTGTCCTGAGCTCAAGAGAGCGTTTAGTCTGGAGTCTGGGTTGGCAAGAAGTGCTGCTGGAGTATCCATCTCCAGGACGGTACCATCTTCTAAGACAAGAATACGGTCAGAGTCTAGGACTGTGTGAAGACGATGGGCTATGGTCAGAACTGTGCAGTTTGAAAAAGCTGTTCTGATTGTACTTTGGACCAGACTGTCTGTTTCAGCATCAACAGCCGCAGTCGCTTCGTCAAGGAACAGTATCGTAGAGTTGCGCAGGAGAGCTCTTGCTAGACAGAGAAGTTGTCTTTCTCCAGAGGAAAAGTTAGAGCCATTTTCCGTCACCCGGACTTCAAGTTGTTGTTGGATACCAGCAATGCTTTTTTTCATGTATGTTTTATCCAAAGCATCCCAAATCTGAGCGTCGGAGTACTGATCGTATGGATCTAGGTTGAAACGAAGAGTTCCTGTAAAGAGAACAGGATCCTGAGGAATCACAGAGATACGTGAACGAAGTTCCCTGATACGGATGCTACCAATGTCGAGGTTATCGATATGGATTCTGCCAGAGGTTGCTTCGACGAGACGGAAAAGCGCTACTGCAATGGACGATTTGCCTGATCCAGTTCTTCCAATGATTCCAATTTTCTCTTTAGAATTAACATGGAAGGAAATATCCTTCAATACAATCGGAAGGTTGTCTCGATATTTGAGTTGAAGTGAATCAACTGTGATATTTCCATGTTTGGGCCAACTATCAATATCACTTTTTGATATATGCTTTTTCCCGGTGCCCCCCTCAGGTATCAATCTTTTTATATACTCGGTGATGCGTTCAATGGATGTGAAACGGGCCTGTGTAAAGGTGAAGATTCGAACAGAAAATTGAAATGTTCCTAAAAACTGTACAGAGTAGGCAAGAGCCAACCCGGCAAAAGCGGCAGCAGTAGTGTTGTGTGTAAAAACGACAGATAGACCAAGTAGCAGTTGGGCTACTGCTACGCATAGGTCCAGTCTAAATGCCAACCATCGTGGACCCAGTAAAAACAGCATTTTTGGAACAGCGCTGGCGTCTAAAAGCTTGTTACAGCGTTTAACGAAGAGTTCTCCCATGCCAAATGCCCGGACGGTAGTCTGAGCCTCGACTGTAGCTTTAACGTGTCCGATGAGCGGTGATCGTTTGATATTTTCAATACGTTTGATATCACGAATAGCTGGTAGAAACATTCGAGACAAATACACAAGGACAATAGCAATAATGGCAACAAAGACGATAAACCAGGGAAAGACCATGATGACAATAACAATACCTGCAAACACACTGAGAAATGTCCAGAGGGCCGTCTCGAGAGCGTTCGGGACTTCATTATCTGCTTCATCAATGTCACGAGAGAAACGATTCAGGACCCTTCCCGATGGAGTGGTATCAAAGAATTCCATCGGGCAACTGAAGACCTGCCTGTAGAGGGATCGATGAAGGTTGAACGACGCCCTCAGCGTAATCATTACGTAATAAACTATGCTAAGACTACATACTACAAACACACTCAGAAAGCTATACAGATAGATATCCCTGTAAAAATGGAATTCAGGATTCTTCAGAATATCTTGTTCATCTTCTGACTGATGGGTGTCATTTTGAGGGATGCCACTGCCCGCGCTGAGCCAATGACTTAGCCAGACGTTGTTGAATGCAGCGCTCGCTGGTGATAGAATATATAAGAATAAAGAAAATAAGCATGGAAGGACACCTCCTGCGTATTTGAAATAGGCCAGATAGGTCCCTGTGCTGACTGCACCCTGCTTGTGAGTCTCTGCGTCTACCAACTGACCCTTAATCTTTTCTTCTAGACACTCTTCATTCATATTTCTCGTCGAGCAATTTGCCAAGAGGTCACCGTTATCGGTGCAGCTTTCGTCGTCGTTCTGCACGCTGATGTAGTCGTCTGCTGTTTTGTCGTGGTCAGAGCCAAATGTTCGTAGAAGGCGAGCATACTCGGCTTCATCTGTCATGAGCTGCGTGTGTGTACCCTGTTCGATCACCCGTCCATTGCTGATAACAATCACCTCGTCACATTTGCTCAGGTACTAAGATAACAGAAAATGTTAAGATATAAAATTCCAATGAAATGTTTTCATAGTCACGACAGATTCTCCTTAAGTAAGACGACAAGCGTAAGTAAAATTGAATTCTCACTATTACCATATGCGCACTTGGAAAATATCAATGGGTAAGCTATAGAACCCTCTGGAAAATGAACATCAAGACTAATTATGCCGACTATAGTTTGATAGTAAATATACAGTGCGTCCCAAAAAAAACTATACACTTTTGAAATGGCTGCCAAATAAAAAAAAAATATATGATTCGTGGGGAAAAGTTGTATATGTATGGAAAGCTCATAAACCCAACGTTCATATGACACCAAAAGGTCCGAAAATAATTCATGCTTGGGTGAGCACTGCTCACTTTTGTAAAGGGTATGGAAATTAGGTTGCGCAGGAATTAACCTTCCAATTTGTGAGAGGTAAATCCTTTGGAGCTTACAAAATTGAGGGTGATATGATACATTCATGATTTGCTGAGTGAATTTCATGGTCTATTAAACCAAACTTTTATGCATGAGTGAACAGGAATTGCATTTTTTATTGTAGCATTGTAAATTTCCCTGGTAGACTCAGTGGTGTGTTCATGGGAGTCAGGATGGAGTGTTGGTACATGTTGTAATTTCCGTGTTACAAACTGTTATTTCTTTTCTTTTTTTTACATCTGTGACTGTGAATAAAAACCTTCACCAAGATTGTGCATCGAAAGAGGAGGTGGACATATGGGCCATTGTTTCCATTTTCAGATATTTTCTCCCCTTTTTTCTCTTACAAGATGGACGAAACAGTTATAAAATTGAAAACTGACATGTTCATTTTACAAATTTGTGAATTTGTGTTTAACTGTACCGTATTTCTTGTGCGAAACTCAAGTGCTAAAATGACTGGTTGGTTGGTTGATAGATTGAGTGAGTGACTGACTTATTGATTAATTATGATCGATTTATTGAATGATTAAATTGATTGAAATACAGAATGGTGATTGAATGCTTGATTGATTAATTGATTGACCGATTGACTGATACATTGTTGATTAAGTGATTGATTGCTGAATGTTGATTGTCTAATGAATTGTCAAGAGAGAAAGAGAGAAGGGGGAGGGGCATACATGTCCTCTTGACCCTTATCCCATCTACCCAACAAAGTCCTACCCTACATTTCACCTCCCCTGTACCATGTACCATCACCCCGTCCTGACTCCCATGAACACACCACTGAGTCTACCATGGAAAGTTACATTGCTATACGGTAATAACAAATGCAATTCCTGTTCACTCATGCATACAATTTTAATCCCATGAACCACAAATTTCACTTAGCAAACCCAAACTCATCACAATTGATCATAAATTGGTCATATTATTCTCAATTCCATAAGCTCCAAAGGATTTACCTCTCACAAATTGGAAGGCTAATTCCTGCGCAAACTAATTTTCATACCCGTTACAAAAGTGAGCAGTGCTCACCCAAGCATGAATTATTTTCGAACTTTTTGGTGTCATATGAAAGTTGGGTTTATGAGCTTTCCATACATATACAACTTTTCCCCAAAGAATATTATATTTTTTATACGGCAGCCATTTCAAAAGTGTATAGTTTTTTTTGGGACGCACTGTAGTGCAACGTACTTATATGACATGAGGATTACTCTATATTATAATGTCAGTATGGATACATCATTATACCAAATGTTCTACCAGAAAACTTATACTAATCTGATCATTCAGCTTCTATACGCTTCCAAAGTGTTATGATATATACAGAGTTGAAAAAACATTACAGATTGATTCAAACTGTAATAGAAAAGCAAGTAGACTTACCTGTAGGTTAGATGTGACCAAGAGTACGGTCTTCTCCTTGAGGATACCTGCGAGGCACTCTGTGTAGATGTGTTCTGCTACCCTTGTATCCACAGCACTCAACGGATCATCCAGTAAGTAGATGTCTCGATCAGCGTACACAGCTCGAGCCAGACTCACACGATGCTTCTGTCCTCCACTCAGGTTGACACCACGCTCGCCGATCTCCGTACGATCACCGCACGGAAGCGCCGCGATTTCGTCACTCAGACAACATACCCTGACCGCTTCCCAGTATCTCTCTTCTCTGTGAACTCTCTCAGCATCGTCCTTAGTCTCGACTTCATCTTCACAATGGTCGCCGAACATGGTGATGTTCTCACGTAATGTTGCGTTGAAGATATCAGGTTGTTGGGAGGTGTATGCCAAAGACCCTGATACAGCTATGGACCCTTCAAGGATGTGTGTCTGTTGCAGTATGGTGTGTAGTAAGCTGGTTTTACCACTTCCTAAACTACCGCATATACCAACAAGAGATCCCTGCCAAATTTGTTTAAAAAGAGAGCAAGTTTTGTCTTAATTCACGACAATCCGTCACCTCGTATTTAGACACCCCTCAAAAAGTTCGGCCTTCGTTGATCACTAAAGTAGAAAGGATTCTTATAACTATACGTGTTTGTCGTGCATTCAAAAGAATTGTGTTTCTGTTTTACATCTTTCAAACCATTGACGTAGCATTACCCCTTTCTATTTATAGTTACGTTTATTTCTGAAAGTATTTTGATTTTGTTATAGATTTTGCATTGTCTATTTGATTGCAAACTCTCATAACTGAACATGAAACAACCAAGATTGTATTAATAATAGATATGCAGATAAAGGAGAAAATTATACCGTACCTTTTTGACTGCCGCCGATACATCATTCAATGCGCATGCTCCATAGAGGTTTGATGATGGAACATTTCCTCTGTCTAGGAAGTCATGATCTTCTGTATCCTAGCAACCGTCAGGTAGTTCATAGAAAGGGAAATTATAGATCCATTTTATTGTTGATAAGTTACATTCAGACATGATTTATTTATAAGGAATACTAAGCGAGTAATAGACACTAAGCAGATGGAAGCATTTCTCTTTGCTGATTTGGTTATCCAGGGTTGATCAAAGAAAGAAATAAGTTTCGTTTTCGCAAAGAATGTGATTTCAGGAATTCCTATGGGAAAATGAACATCAATCGATAAACGGATTCATTGATCAGTTTGTGGTATATGTTTACTTTGTTTATCTTACCCGAGCTGTATCGCATTGAGTCTTCTTGTCTTTACTGCAGTCATCCCAAGCAGCCGACACCGAGTTCATCTCGATCGCATTCGACCGGTCATTGACACTGTCTGTGATGGGTAGTATCTCATCTTGAATCAGCAAGTTCTTGATACGTGGTATGGACACCAGGATATCACTCAAGTATTGAAAACCATACTGAGACATGTTGAGCATCGAACGTATACTGTAGATGACGGCTAAATAGGTCAACACCTAGAAATAGATAGGATGAGGATGGTATTTAAAAAAAATTAAACGTAAAGAAATTAATCTTGCATTTTATATTTTTAACCCGAATACATCCATGGGTAAGTCGAGATTTCGTTGTCTTGTGAATACATCACCGGACTTTGATCAATAGTTCAAAATTCGAGTTGCAACAGTGGCACGAATATCATTTGAAAAGACATTATTTTTACATTTACAACTCTGGATCTAGGTGTACGTAGGTAGCAGGATATTTTCAAGGAGGGGGGGGGGGGTAAGAGGACACTTTTTTTAGGTCAGCCATAGGCATATTTTTTTTTTTTTTCCTTTCTTTTTTTTAATTAAAAAAAAAAAAAAAATCACAAGGGGGTGGAGGAGGGGGGGGGTTGCTCCAAAATACACTCATTAAAAATACTGAAGGGGTGGTTCAACCCCCCCCCCCCCCCTTGCGTACGCGCCTGCCTGCATAGTAAGACGTTATTCATTGATACTGTTTTCAGCACTTTTGGAGGGCTTGGCTATAAAAGCCAGTGTGATAATTATACTTTTAGTCGTCTTGAGCGACCCCTTGGATATATTATGGGCACGACATAACGTTACCTGCAGTTACTATGTCAGTCGAATACTTCTCCATCACTTCAGTACAATAAAAATCAATAGTTTAATAATGTGCAGCTTCTTTCTCCTAATACCGTTTCTGCTGATGAAATTTGTTAAGCCCTAGTCCTCTACCAACATAACCATCGTACATGGTACATTATTCGCATTCCCATTTTTTCATTAAAAATAATGTTGCAGAGAGAGAGAAAAAGAGTCTGGGATTCTGAGGTGTGATTTGAACGTACCTGGTCTGGGGAAAGACTCTCTTTGAGATAGAGTTTGAACATGATTGTGGTTACTACAGCTACTATTGGTACAGATATGATGAGGCTCTTTTCGATACCACTAAGGATGCGCAAACCAACGAGATGTCGTAGTTCACTTCGGCGGAGTTCTGCAGAGTTAAAAACAAAATGAGGCCTTAATTTCCTTATTTCCTTCTGTCCATTGGAAATCCATTGAAAGGTCATAGTTTTACATTTTTGCAATTACTTCTAGTATTATAAATGTTTTCCTTTATCATCCCATAATAGTCAGCATTTTGTTTTTCAGGGTTCTGGATCCTAGCTGATTGGATAATGGAAAATACCCAATCGGGGTGCACCATCTAGCATTAGACAGGTTGTTGTATTATATTATATTATATTATTATATTTTATTCTCGAATATGATTGGTAAATTTGAAAGTTCAATAAACGAGACTAGGATTTGAGGACGTGCATAGATATGTAATGTCGATATTTATATCTCAGCCTCTGACTTTGTATCTAATTACAATTACTCAGGAGAAGCCAAAATAACATTTTCACCAATTCAAATATTTCGGGAAATGCCAAAGGAAAGGGTGAAAATTCCATCCCCTTGAAAAAAGAAACTTTAATCAAACAGACAAACTAAAAGAATGTCTCTGCATATTAGATTATCCATATTTCATTGTAACATATGACATTTCCTATTTTAATCGATATTGTCTAGTCCTCCTCCTCCATGCCCCGGCCCCTTTGCATGCAGAGTTTTTGAAATTGAGGTCGATTCTTAGACCACAGACTCTCCCTCTTATATAGTGTCCATGTGTAGACCGACCGTAAAAGCTCTGCTACGACACACAATCTAGAATAGTCCTGGTCCATGTTTGACCTACCATTGACCTTCTTCTCAAAGCAATCTTCCCATGCATACATCTTGATGAACTTGATGTTAGTCAGCATCTCACTGATGATGTGAACTCGTTTATCCGTCTCTTTCATCATGCGTGCACGGTAGATCACCTTGCCTCCTGTTAATGCGAACTATTATAAAGAACAAGACAAAAATGCTGCTTAGCTAGGCAAGGCGATGAACCTGATAGGCCTGTTGCAAAGAAGGCTTTATTTTCATCACGTCATCACTTGCGCTAATCAAACCTAGATAGGGAATAAGCCCAAACTGCATTAATTAAAAAAACACTTTATTTTGTACTGTTTACCATTATTGCATTTACCTTGTGTACGATACGACTCTCTTATGACGCGTCAAGGCCGTGCTAATCACTGACGCAATCCCATCTCAACAAAATTACGCCACGTTATTGTCATCATTTTGAATAAGGCTATGCCGCACCGACCCAAACAAAATGTTTTGTTTGGGTCCACCATCGAGCCACCATCACCATTATACCCCCATCACCAGCATCATCATTACCACCACCACCACCATCAGAGGAGCAGCGTCGGCTCAATCCTAAGGGGGGGGGGGAGTCTTTAGTCTACAAGATCAGCGTCTTTATGCCTCCGCCACCGAAGGTGGTGCCGGAGGCATCATGTTTTCGGGTTGTCCGTCCGTACGTCCGTCCGTACGTTCGTCCCGTTTGACCGTTATCACAATATCTCAAGAACCATTTAAGATTTAAACTTAAGACTCGGGAATAGTATTTATCACCATAGGAAGACGATCTGATTAGATTTTGGAGTACGTAGGTCAAAGGTCACAGGTCACAGAGGTCAACTTATGAAATTCCTTGTATTGAGTTTGTTAGCGCGATATCTCAAGAACCATTTGAGATTTAAACTTCAAACTTAGTGATAGTGTGTATCACTATAGGAAAACAATCTGATTACATTTTGGAGCACGTAGGTCAAAGGTCAAGGGTCATAGAGGTCAACTTATGAAATTCCATACATTGAGATTGTTATCATGATATCTCAAGAACCACTGGAGATGTAAAAACTTCAAACTTAAGGATAGTATGTATCACCATAGGAAGACGATCTGATTAGATTTTGGAGCACGTAGGTCAAAGGTCAAGGGTCACAGAGGTCAACTTATGAAATTCCATACATTGAGATTGTTATCATAATATCTCAAGAACCACTGGAGATTTAAACTTCAAACTTAATGATAGTGTGTATCACCATAGGAAAACAATCTGATTAGATTTTGGAACACGTAGGTCAAAGGTCAAGGGTCACAGAGGTCAACTTATGAAATTCCATACATTGAGATCGTTATCGCGATATCTCAAGAACCACTGGAGAATTTTCACTTCAAACTTAATGATAGTATGTATCACCATATCATAATATCTCAAGAACCACTGGAGATTTAAACTTCAAACTTAATGATAGTGTGTATCACCATAGAAAGACAATCTGAATAGATTTTGGAGCACGTAGGTCAAAGGTCAAGGGTCACATAGGTCAACTTATGAAATTCCATAAATTGAGATTGTTATCATGATATCTCAAGAACCACTGGAGATTTAAACTCCAAACTTGTTTAAATTGCTCTATGGCGGAGGCATCATTTCGACTGCGCGCAGTCAAAATTCCATCTAGTTTTTTTTAATTAACAGTGCGTCCCAGAAAAAACGAAGCCGAGAATTAACGATTGAATGGGCAGAACCTCAATTTTTTAGAAATGTGATTTTCTTTTCGAAATTGAGATACCGTCCGCCAAATGACTTTTTGGTTTCCTCTCTTCAAATTCATTTTAATCACATATTGCGAAAAGAGGAGGATCTAAGCTTTCCAAATATGTTTTATTTAGTAATTATAAATGTGACTAAGTTATGATAAAACATTGATAATTCTCGGTTTCGTTTTTTTTTGGGACGCACTGTATATTCCTTTTTTAGTCACGGCACCCTTTTTGGAGTTAAACCATTTCCCGTCGCCCCAATCTAAAATTAATCTATTTAACATAATTAGTTTTCCATCCCTCCTACACATAGACGTTAGGGCACATTGTTGAGTGAGGGCCGAGGGCCTCTTGTCCGAAAATATGCTCTCCTGATCTGAAATATTGCGAGCGAGCAAAAATGTTATTCAGTCATCAATATAAACTAGATAAAATGTAAAAGTATATTCGGTCATGTCGTTACCAGAAATCATCTTGATATATCAATTTTGCGAGAAGTGAAGTGAGAGAGGGTATAAAGAGACAATTTATCCTGGTATGAATTTCAATTTGATATTAGAAAAACACAATAAATATGATTATATTTGGGCAGAGAATATCGTCATATTATTGTTATGGAGATATTCATGGAACTCCCCGCCTGAAACTATCTCGTTTCTTAAGTTTGGGAGCGAGCAAAGCGAATGAGTAAAATAGACACCTTACTATCTCTGACATGTTATTTCCTTATCAAATTAACAAAAAATAATATATATGTGAGAATCTTTCGGTTTCTTATATTCTCGCGGCATTCCGGTTTAAAAAGTGGTATTCTAGATGTTTAAAAATTGAGGGTAAGATATAGGCCAGAAAAGGATTTACTCCTTGCCCCATAAGAGTTGGGAAATTTTGTATTTTAAAGTAATATGAACACACATAAATACTCTTGGTCTCTTTTTGCGTATGTTTTCTATCTTACACCCCCTTTCTATACCCTATACTCTTCACCTTATATACTCATACCATTTAGCTTAAACCCCATACCCCATACCCTTTACCACATACATCATACCCCATACCGTATACCCCATTTTTATACCTTGTACATTACACCCTATATAATGTACCTTACACCCTATATCTTACACATTATACCCTGTACCGTATACCCTACACATTATACCTTAAACCATATACCTTACATTCCATACATTATACATTATACTCTATACCTTACAACTTATACCACGTACCTTGAATCCTATACATTATACATTATACCATGTACCTCATTTCTTATACATATCCTGTACCTTATGAATTATAATTTTTTTTATTGGACTGGACCCTTTACTAGCGCGGTTGTCGAGGATCGCGCCGTCATTAAGTATCGCGCCATCACTCGGCTTAACGCTTATAGTCGGCGAATAAAAAAAAATCAATAAAAGGGTCCAGAACTAGACTAATATGGGGCGCCTGTGGGCCGCATATGAGTTACAATATGGGTCTCATAAGGGATATCCATACATATCCCATAAGATTGTGCGAAAATTGTAAGATTGGTATGTTAAACGTAGGCCCCATCTGGGTAAACCTTGTGGGCATTTTGGGGCAAAATACGGACTATCAAATATGGACATTGTCTGTGGGGTCCTAAATGGGTTCCACATGGCCACGGCCACCATCACCTTCACCAACATTATTGACTTAGTAAACAGTAAACAATTGCTAATTCTTGATATATATGAACAAATAATATCTACCGTCAATGTTTTTGTATAGGGCATAAGAATTATGTATATTAACCCATTGCTTACTGGAACCTGGTGGTCCCTGTGTTAAGCTTATGGGAATTAGATAATTCAGTAGCCAACGGGTTAACGGAACTATGAAAATATAACGTTTTGGGGGATATGTCATCACCGGCGACTTGAACATTCACTTGGACAATAACTCTGCACCGAACACACAAAAGTTTAATGATCTTCTCACTAGTCACGGCATCTCCCAGCTAGTCAAATCTCCTACCCATGACAAGGGTCACATCCTGGACGTTGTCATGGTGCGGAACGCTGATGATCAAATCCTGTGTTCGAAACCTCAGGTCATACCTGGCATCTCCGACCATTCTGCTATCTTATGGAAGCTAAACTTCGCTAAGCCTAGTCGGACCCACTCTACATATGTCAGTCGTAACATCAGAGATATTGACAGAGAGACCTTCGCGAATAGCATTGCTGACTGCAACATCACTGCTCCTGCTACATGTAGTGTCGAAGAAGCTGTTCATCACTACAAGTTAGAACTCGGGAGGGTTCTAGATGCTCATGCTCCTCAGAGATCACGAAAAGTGAGGAATCATGCAGACTGTCCGTGGTATACCAATGACATTCGTACTCAGAAGAGGATACGTAGACAACTGGAGAGGAAATGGAGGGCCAATGGCCGACTTCAGACCGACAAAGATCTGTACTGTGCCCAGCGTGACCTCGTAAATTCACTTGTGAAAAGGGCGAAGCGCTCATACTTTGTAGATCTTATTGAAGACTGTCGGAATGATTCCAGAAAGCTCTTCTCAGTAGCAAACCGACTTCTGAATCGTCGACAGTCATCACCACTTCCAGCCCACACGGACAGCCAGCAAATGGCCTCTACATTCACCCACTTCTTCCAGACGAAAGTCAAGACCATCTGCGACAGTTTATCACCTGACGAAACACCATACCATCCCCTTACTTCCTCTTCTTTTGAAGTAATACAACCTACTACCCCTAAGGAGATTATGTCACTCTTACGTAAACTACCCCCCAAATCACGTCAGTTAGACCCTGTTCCCACTAAATTATTAATGGATTGTTCCTCCACATTCGCTCCCATCCTTTCTTACTTGATTAACTTGAGTTTAGAGCAGGCACATGTTCCTTCCTCATTGAAAATAGCTCATGTTACTCCGTTGTTGAAGAAACCTTCTCTGGACCGAAATTCCCTCCAAAATTATCGACCAGTTTCAAACCTACCTTTTTTGTTCAAAATTCTTGAAAGGGTTGTGTTTTCTCGTCTTTCGGATTATTTTCTGGACAATGATTTGTTCGACCCTTTCCAGTCAGGTTACAGAACCCATCATAGTGTGGAAACACTGCTTGTGAATGTGTCCAACTATATCCTGCAAGCGATGGATAGGGGTAACTCAACTGCTCTCCTGCTGCTAGACTTGTCCTCCGCCTTCGACACCGTTAATCACACTATCCTTTTGAACACAGTTCACTTGGTGTCAAGGGTGAGGCATACAAATGGTTCGAGTCTTATTTGTCATACCACTCTCAGATCGTTTGTATTAATGGTTGCAAATCAGTTGCTTTGCCTCTCTCTTGTGGAGTACCACAGGGTTCTGTGGGCGGGCCTACTCTCTTCTCAATTTATTTAATTGGATTGCGACAAGTTTTGTTACAACATGGCATAGATTATCATATTTATGCAGACGATATTCAACTTATGATTTCCTTCAATTCAGATCAAACCGCTGCAGAACGAGCCGTTCATCGCCTTGAATCTTGCATGGCTGATGCTCATGATTGGATGCTCGCACGTTCCTTGAAATTAAATTTTGACAAATGCAAATTCCTTATTTTTGGTTCCAAAGTACAGCTTAGTAAAGTTAGTTCAATTGCATTTCATTTTCTGGCCACATAATTCACTTGTCACAAACGTGTCGCAATCTCGGTGTTATGTTTGACTCACATATGACAATGTCTGACCAAGTTTCTAATATTTGCAGATCAGTAAGGTACCAATTGCGTAATATCGGTTTTATTCGTAAATATTTGTCCAAGTCTGCCACCGAAAAATTAGTACATGCTCTGATTTCCTCCCGTCTTGATTTTGGCAATGCCCTCCTAATCAATCTACCCCAGAATCTACTGTCCAAACTTCAGAAGCTTCAAAACGCTGCAGCTCGTATTGTTTCTCTGTCCACCAAGCGTACCCACATTTCCCCAGTTTTGCAGTCGCTACACACTGGCTCCCAGTAAAAGATCGCATTGTTTTCAAAATTTTGTTGCTAACCTTCCATTGCGTTCACGGCTCTGCTCCTCAATACCTTATCTCTCTAATCCAAAACTACACTCCTGCAAGACCTCTACGCTCATCCACTTCCGATTTTCTCGTGACCCCCAAAATTACCAAAACGTGGGGGGAAAGATCATTTGCATACTCTAGTCCTAAATTATGGAATGGCCTTCCTGAAGACATCAAAAAATGTTTATCTTCTGATTCTTTCAAAACTCATCTCAAAACATTCCTTTTCAAGTCTTGATCGTTTTTCCTGTTCACACGCGCCTTGAGCACTCCACAGAGTGGATTTGGCGCGATATAAGTTACATTATTATTATTATTATTATTATTATTATTAAAACAACTTATAGGCTTTTAACGCCAAAGTTGCAAATATTTTTTATTTGGCAGGATTAGAGTCAATTACATTTCAATTCAATAATGGTTTTATTAAAAAACAATGCCTCGCAGCCAAAATGCTAAATTGTGCATGTTTACATGTATACATGAGCTTCATTACATAACATTATATTTCATTTGTTACAATCATTCATTCAAACAGTATTGGTAACATCTAACAGTATTCATGTGTAGCATTTAAAACCAATCACTATATATTATTTACATTTTTAAAATCTATTAAACTTCACAATAGTAATAACAACAATTAATCAAAAGCAATACAATACATAACATACAAATAAGTAAAAAGCTAATACTGAAATTATTGCACCTGTGTCTTTAACATTAAAAGTCAGCAAAATGTTGCTCTGTGTTGCCTGTTCATCAATGGTAAGTACATAATTATAAATTGATGTCTCTGTAAAAAGATAAATATATTCCTACGTTAAAAATAAATCATTGTTGGGTATGTATTAAAACATTTAGATAATAAACATATTTATCAAATATTGTTAATATATATATATATTGTGTAAAATCCATTACATTAATCACGACGTATTTACATTACATGTAGCTGGTTGGTAACTTGTGTATATTTAACTCTAACGCCGACTATAATTGATGGCATCTTATGAAGCACTTTATATTCAGTGGAAAAGGCGCTATAAATAGCAACTATGATTATTATCATTTGTACTTACCTGTACGATGTATGTGAGCGCGTAGACCAACATCCCAATCAAAGCTGATTTGCCCATTATGTAAGTCGTGAATACGCATGCGCAAATGAATGACACGGGCGCTCCAACGACATAAGGTGTATACACCACTCCCTTAATAGCAATTAGAGTATGAGAGATAGAGGAAAGTAGGATTAGAGCTAGCAAACATTATCGAAAGCAATATAACATAGACGAGGTATTTTGAATATAAAATGAATTCAATGAATTAGACTCTTCATGAAACATCGGAATTCTTGGAATTGAGTTGATGGGTATAGTCGCAATAAACACTTTCGCGAGATTTGTCTGCTGTTGAACCCGATTGGCTAATTAATGTTGAGAACTAAAATTATTGTTTTTCTTGATAATTCAGTCTGCAATAATTATGCAGAACAAGTATGAATTCCTATGTTTGTTCAAATAAAGGTGTTTCGTATAAACGGGGTCACATAGTCTTTCGCAAAATATCATTCTAAGACAATTTCAATAGGCTTGCCCATGCATCACCCTTTGATATGAGCGAACAGTATACAATGATATATTGCGTAATCCAATGGTGTTTTTTGTGGTCAATGGGACACACATTGAAATTCCCGAATGTCTTTGTGATTGTCTTTATTTTTATAAATCCATATATCAAATGCATAATTAAGAACATTTTTGTGTTGTTGTGACTTACATCATGGAGTCTATTCGCATCGTTGACACATAGATTTACAATCTCGCCCATCGATGTATTGTGAAGACCACGCAGCCGCAGAACCTTCTGTAGTAATAACGCCACCACGCCGCCTCGTAGCCGCACCGCGGTGCTAGCCCCGATGAGGTAGTTTGCATTGAGGATAATGTTGTAGAGCATTGTGAAGAGCATAGCGCTGACCGCATACAGAATACCGCGGTAAACGGGCGCAGTCGCATCCTCGGAAAATTGAATAAGACCACGGATGGAAACGGACTGAAAATATGTTTGTTCAAAAGTGAGAAAGAAAATCGTTAAAGGGCAATCCAGCTTTCGTGATTTCGTTCATATTGTTTGAAAGCAGAAATAGAAACGAAACGGAATCTCGAAAGTTGAGATAAATCGGACCAATAATACCATTTTAAACAAAGCCAATGACCTAGAGGTCATGTATTTATGCGTAAATTAAGATTGTGCCCATGCAAATTATGATGATATCACCGCCTACGCGCTGCATTGTGCGCGCACATCATCCTTTGCATGGGTGCAATCTTAATTTACGCATAAATACCACTGACCTCGGGTCATTGGCTTTGTTTCAAAGCCAATGACCCGAGGTCAACTGTCTGCGCATGCGCACTGATACAACCGTAAACTGGTGTATAAGGAAGTTTTAAATGTTTGAACTAAGACATCACTAAATATATGCCAATCTCAAATCGGCAATACACCAGTTTACAGTTGTATCAGTGCGCATGCGCAGACAGTTGACCTCGGATCATTGGCCCCGTAACGGGGCCAATAACCTCTGACCTCTGGTATTTATGCGTAAATTAAGATTGCGCCCATGCAAATTGATGTGCGCGCACAACGCAGCGCGTAGGGCAGTGATATTATCAAAATTTGCATGGGCGCAATCCTAATTTACGCATAAATACATGACCTCTAGGTCATTGGCTTTGTTTAAAATGGCGCACACAACTGTAAACTATATTTTGTCAGTGGATTTCTGACGTATAGTCACGAACAACTTTCCCGTTAGTCGTGTACATAAGCATTGTAATTTTTTCCCGTACTAAGTGCGTTCTCCTTTGGGGCACTACCCAAAACATATTATGAATAGCATATTATTATAGGTCCTCGGTAGAGAGAAAAGGCCCTCCTGAGTCATACATCTTGAATAATTGACATTTTAGACATTTTTGTTGTGTTTGAACAACAAAAATTGTCTGGCACTATACGTCACAATGACATTACCGATTTTATTTTGTCGGACCCAACGGAAGAACAGCTGTGCTGAAATGGTCCAGCTGTGTAGGATGTTTCTTCCGTAATTGCTTTGTCATATCATCATCATAATATGTTATCTTTTACACTCAATCAATCAGCCAATTCGAAGTGCCAATAACTATTACAGCTTTATAAAATGCATAACTCTCTCATTTTATGTCCGTTCAAATTGTTTGAGTTTTCTGCTTTCTTTTAGAGTAGTTTTCTATAAAAGTTGGGTTTTTCTTTAAAATTGGCCGACTATTTAATCCCTTGACATCGCATATCCATCGTAGATTTAATACAACAACTACCTACTTCTACCGGCAATTGATAAATTTGATTATGGCTTTGAAATGTAACAGACAATAGTAATAAGCTATCATAAATGTCTCTTTCTCCGTTTCGTAAAATCATTAAAAAAACGCACCAAGAAAAGTAAAATGTTGATACACTAACCGATTTTACATGTAGATTTTATTCTTTATGCCTTTTAACTTTTGAATTATGTGAGAACAAAGTACTAATTGGTAATGATTATTGAGAAAAACGTGCAGGACCATGGGCATGGCTAAGTTAACAACAGAGTAAAAATGGTACTGGCCTCACAAGATATACGGGGATGTGCCGCTCTATTGGGTTATTTTTTTGCAAAAATATTCCTACACATGGAGTATGATTTTGCCCTGCAAAATCCCTTAAAGTGCCCCCACTTTTCACATATTTGCCTGAGTCTTTTCTCAGTTCAGAACAATATCTCACCCATAATCACACCAAAGTGAAAATTCTAGATTCGAAACCCTGATAATGAGTAGTATTTTCTGCCAAACTGACCCTTAAAAATGGGTATGGGTTAACCCGCTTCAGCCGCACACCCTCGTCCAATTAAACCAAATCTGAGTCCCCCCCCCCCCCCCCCCCCCTCCCCCCGGTATTATCAGACGTAGTTTGAAATATCATGATGTCTTTGTTTATATAACAGGAGGCTACTCACCGAAAGAAGAAATATGACCAATTGGGATAATATAACCATGAGCATACTGCCGAGAATACGCCACGATACGAACCGCAGAATGACGCGTCCCAGTGATGCTTTGACCGCGTCACCACCGTGATGTTTTATCTCTTCCTCCCATAACTGAGCAAAGATCTTGGCGTTTTTCTCCGCTGAGTCCACGGGCAAGATGGGATAGAGGTCGTTGTCGTTAAGTCCGCGTTTCTTGGCGGTGCGGAACAGCGGTGTTAACCACTGCCATGTTACGACGCTGATGAAGTTACCGGTCGCCCAATGCTTAGTTCCGGTGTTGCTACTCATCTCTACTTTAGTATCACCTCCTTCAAGTTCCCGTTTGACCGGAAGTTGTTCAGTTTCCCCTGGGTCATCCTCCTGCTCTCCGATTCTCACGTGTTTCATCTTTCTGGGTGTCTTACCGTCGATGTAGCTCAGAGCCCTTTCAGTATTCATGGGAAAATGGAGGGGAAAAAAACGAATGTTAGCATTGAATATGGGGCACTTTTTAGCAAGGGAAAGAGGCACATATCATATAAAAGGGTCATTAATTAGAAGTGAATAGGGGCACTCATCAAAGAAGAAAAAGAGCACTTATCAGAAGGGGAGGGGGCAATTATTACAAAGAAAAAAGGGGCACTTCTGAAAGTAAAACGTGTAAGTGTCAGATTTGAATAAGGACAATTGTCAAAGATGAATGGGGCACTCAGAGGTGGTGAGGGGTACTTCTCGTTCCTGAAAAGGGGCACTCACCAGAGATGAAAACAGGCACTTATGAAAATGGAAAAAGGACACTTATCACAAAGGGAAAGGGACAGTTGTCGAAGGAAAAGGAGCACTTATCAGATTTTAATAGGGGCTTTAATCAAAGGTAAAAAGGGACATTCGTAGAAAAGTAAATGGAGTATTATGAAAAATAGGGGTGCACTTATCAAAAGGATAATGGGCACTTAATAGAAGAGGGAGCAGTTCTTACAAAAAAAAAGGGGGCACTTGTCATACGTAGAAAGGTGCGCTTTGTCTCTGAATTTAACATCTTAATGTTGAAAGAGAACAGACCAGCACGAGTATGTTTTTCACGATCAGACACCCGCGCAGGCATAATAATAATAATACATCAGATTTGTATGGCGCCAAATCCACTTGACAATAAAATGCTCAAGGCGCAGCTTGTGCGAAAGATGAAATACATGATAAATACTTACATAAGTGCAATAGAAAAGGTACGGACATCGAAGGAAATGGTAATCAATTACAGGCTAACTTAAACAGATATTTCTTAAGATTATTTTTAAACACTTGACCAGAACTGCGACTTTTGTTTGAGGGAGAGTTTTCCACAATGAAGGCCCGGCATAAGCGAAGGTTCGCTCCCCACTTTGTTTTAACCCTAGGAATAACAAGTACGCCAGAGTTTGAGAACGTAACTGTCTAGAGGGAATGTAATGCCAGATCAAGCCGATGTATTGTATTGATTCTTCTCCCAAGTTTTACAGCAATGATACTGGTACTGAAAATAATGAGGCTTGTTTTAAGTCTATATCTGATCCAAGGAGAATTGTTACAGTTTAAAAAACAGAACCGCTAGTGCTTCCACTCGTTTAAATAGATTTTCTTGAAAAAGAACACCCACTGTCCTGGAATTTTCTAAAAAAAACTTTCAAAATGCCTCTTACGTGGATTTTTTTTATTTGGATGAATTATTTGCTCTGGGGAGACCAACGTCATAACTCATACGACTTGTCGCACAGTATCAGATTATGAACTTTCAGTAAACTTTAGATTTGCGAATAACAAGTAATACTGAGGAAGTAAAAGGAAAGGGATCAAACTAGGTATATATACATTTTCTCAGCGGCGGATGAAGGATTTATCAAAGGGGTAGTGAGCACTTCTTTTTTTTTTGTCCTCAAAAAAATTTCAATTTGCACACCCCCCCCCCCCCTTGAGCGCCAGGGGGAGGGGGGGGGGGGTAGTGATATCTCCGTGGTATCTGTACCCGGTAGTGAGCACTTCTTTTTTTTTTGTCCTCAAAAAATTTCAATTTGCACCCCCCCCCCCCCCCCCCTTGAGCGCCAGGGGGGGGGTCCAACCCCCCAAAAAGGTAAAAATCACGTGATTTTACATGATTTTTTTCTCAAGGGGGGGGGGCCGGGCCCCCCCCCCCCCCCCTGGATCCGCCACTGCGTGGTGGGGTCCAGTGGCAGAGCACAAAGACGTTTACATATATATGTATGCATACTTTAGTGGGGCTTATTTTGCTTTCAAATGGATCCATACAACATGGCAGAGCTTGGGGACTGGCAGAGTCCATGTCGGAGGTTCCGGAGTGGAGCACCAGGACGCTCTCGAGTGTTAGCAATTCAGAACCTCAAGATGACCGTCTTGAGCTTATGGGGCTTATGGAAACTCACACTCTCTCCTAAGGACAATTTTATACAACTGCGGGTTGTCTAGCTTGGTTACCAATTCTATCTTTACTAATGGGGTCCAGGGGTCCGCCTTAGGGGCCCTGGTGGGTTGCAGGGACAGTGCCCCCGCCAGGGATTCAGGAGTCGGAACCCCCGGAAGCTCTCGAGTTTTGGCAATTAAGATTACTTTCTAGATAGCCGTCATGAGCGATAAAAATCCCTAAAATATAAACTTCACTGCCCTTATTGTGTGCTCTTTTTAAAGAGCCCAACAAAGTTCTCAGGTTATGCATTGCATCTTATTTAATACGTAGTTCAGAAGTTCGTAGTTCTTTCTAGATAGCCGTCGTGAGTGATAAAAACTCTAATCTATCACTTGAAATTTAATCTGCACTGCCCCTATTGTGTGCTCTTTTTAACGAGCACAAAAAAACCTCAGTAGACGGCCCTAATAAACTGGACATAACATTCAATGGGATGATGCCCACATCATCGAGTTTGAAACGCACCTCTGATCAAGAATGGTAGAAGAATCCATTTGGATAGAAAGGATAAATCCTTCACTTGCTATACATTGTTACTTGTCTTCGCTCCAGTAATCTCGAGGCAGAAGCCAGCAGTAAATTGTGTGAATAATTTTTCACGGGAGTGGTTGTTAAAAGCTTAAACAACATAAAACTCACACTCTCTCCAATGTTATACTTGGGAACCACTTCCATCTTTACGGATGGGGTGCAGGGGCAGAGCTTTTGCCGGGAGTCTAGGGGGCGGAGCCCAAGGAAGTTGATTTCTTCTAAATTTAGAAATATCAAAATATTCGTCAAGAGCGATAGAAATTGTAATTTCCTCGTTATAAGCCGCATGGCCGCTTTCATTTCAATTTAGAATAACCTCTTTTTCTCACTTAAAGACAATTATAGAACTTATTGTTCGTATTTTTGTACTTTCGTCCGAAGACTTTTTTGGCATAATTATGTCGAGCCAAATTATCGGAAATGTAATCTGTAAGTGTAAATTGAAGTTTCATGTTCTTCCTTTTTGTCTTTCTTTTTCTCTCTCTCTCTGTCTCTCTCCTTTTCCTCTACCCTCTATCTTCTTCCTCTCTGTTACATTATAGTCTCTTTCTTTTCTCATTTATCCTTCCACCATTCTCTCTTTTTTCCATTTCCATTGTTTAAGGCCACCAAAAAAGCAGAGCCGCAGGCAGCTGATTCCCCCCCCCCCCCCCCCCCCCCCCCCCCCCCCGCTCAGCCAGTGATGTATACGTTGATGCAGGCAGTACGCATCAGTTCAATGGGATTTGATTTCCATCCTATATATCTAATACGTTGCCAACTTGTTACTCAGAGTAGCGATTTTTATATTATTAGTATAACATTTCTTATTTTCCCCTTCTCTCTCTCTTTCCTCTTCCTCTCTTGTTCTATTTTACCTTTGTGTTTCTCTTTCTTTACTCTTTTTTAGGCCGCCATAAAAAGGGGACCGCACCTGATTCGGTCGTCACCTGGATATATTGAATTTCCTTTAAAATTCCTTGACACTATCAAAACTCTGTAATTTCCTTTAAAAAAAGGCAATGTCCCCGGAGGTCCGGACTTTGAGAAGTCCTGCTCTAACGCATACCAAGGGAAATTTTTAGCAGTTTATTTGTCCCCTGTTTTCTTTCTTTCTTTCTCTATTTTTTGTTAGCGGCCAAAGGGGGGGGGGGGCACAGGCGGGCTGTGCCCCCGCCTGGATCTGCACATGCCACTACATGTCAGTGTTGTTGTTGTGGACTAGTGGATAAGTCACCCGACTGCAGATCACAAAGTACGGGGTTCATGTCCCGCCGCGGCACTAAAGTCATTTGGCAAGACGTTAATCTATATTATTTTGCCACTCTCCACCCAGGTGTTTAATGGGTACATGATATGCTTGAGCTCTAGTTACTTTGGCAGCTCGGCTACAACCAGGGTAATATCATTATGTAAAGCGTCATGAGCGTCAAAACCTGACGGATACCGGCGCTATATAAATATCCATATTATTATTATTATTATTATTAACTGTCGGTTTTTTCTTCTATCTGCCCATGGAACCCTCAGTATTCGCCGATACACCCACAGTTTGGCACACTTCAATAAATCAAATATCTTGGCTAATGCATATATTATGCAGGATTTAGGCGAAGGGAAGTTCTGCATATATGTTTGCTTCTAGTATTTCATAATAATCGTATGATTCTGTGATTTGGAACACAGCAGACGGAAAAAGAAACGAAAATACACAAGATCTAATTTAAACTTACCCAAGAATTTGTGTCACTTTCGATTGCGCCAACTCGTCTATGTTCCCAAGCTGTGGCGTACGTTGTACACCGAGACTTGCACCCAGACAATGATTTTTTTTTTGCTGGAATAAAAAAAAAAAAAACTCGCAATTGCGCAGCATTAAGAGAACGATGTGGCTTAATTTCGTTACTTATTGGTACGCAGGACAGGTATAGCTCAAGACATGGTCTGGTGACTATTCAAGGATCCATTTCGATCGTGCGACTCGGCGATAATCATTGCCCATCAATATATCCTTTGTGAAAATAAGGATCAGTCTAGACGTGCCATGGTGTATGCCGTGGTGTATGGCGTGGTGTACGGGGGATCGAGGGAGGGGAGGGTGGAGGGGGAGGCAATGGGGCCCCTGCACAGGGTGGTAGGCCTTGTTGGAGGGGTGCATAAAAAGGAAAAAACGCAAAGAGGCGAATAGCAAAGTGAGAATAAAGAGAAAAAAAGGTGTACGGGGGAGGGAGGGGGAGGGGGAGGGAGGGGGCAATGGCCATCTGCCCAGGGTGGTATGCTATACTTGAAGGGGTGCACAAAAAGGAAAAAACGCAAAGAGGTGAATAGCAAAGGGAGAATAAGAGAAAAAGATAGTCCTCTTATACCCGTCGTCACAAAACTCGATAATTTTCAGTACTCGTACTTGTTTTGCTTCCATTCATTGAAACGTTGATTATAACCTTCCATGACTAGCTGGTATGAATAAACGTATGAATAAAAAGTGGCCAACTTGGGATACTGATTAAACACTGTGTTGTATATATACAAACACTTCAAGGCTCCGACTCGCAGACCTAGATTTACAGTCTTTGTAAACAAGCTCGCTGATCTCAAAATCTTATTCTCGTTGTCCAGAAACCTCGCGAGTCTTCTCATTCTATAGCATAGGGGGGTAAGAGGACACTTTTTTTCTTTTTTTGGGGTCCCAAAAAAAATCGCAACGACTCAGCCGGCCGCTGAATAAGCGGGGGAGGGGGGTAAGAGGACACTTTTTTCTTTTTTGGTCTCGAAATTTGAATATTTGACATTTTGGGTATTGTCACCTTTTTTAGGTCAGCCATTGGTATATATTAAAAAAAAAAAAAAAAATTAAATAAAAAATACAAACCCCCCCCCCCCCCCCCCCCCCCCCCCTGCGTACGCGCCTGTGTAGTCATGCTATCGAGCTTTGCTTACTTTGTCAACTTACTTTTGTGCTTACTTTTGTCATGTGTAAAATTTGCAATGTTTTGTTCGTTATATCTGTATTGGTAAAAATACAAAAGAAAAAGAAAATCAAACATAAATAAATAAATAAAATAAAATAAAATCAATACCTCTTGATATCTCACCAGGGTATTTCTTGCTAAATTCTCTTTCCCACTCTCATCTCTACCTTCATGACCATCTCATTCATTTTCTTCTCTTTCTCATCATTTCTTTGTCTCTCCCACGATATTTTCACTATCCTCTCTCTCTCTCTCTCTCTCTCTCTCTCTCACATATTGTCACTATCCTCTCTCTCTCTCTCTCTCTCTCTCTCACATATTTTCTTCATAATCGTTACCTCTGCTCCCCCTCCCTCTGTCTCACATACACACCAACACACAATGCCTCTTTCTCTCTCTTTCTCTCTCTATAAGTATACATATCTCCATTTATTTCTCTATCTCTCTACTTTGAAGCCCGTCTGCACTAGTTTGGCCAGAAGGGATTAGACCTTCCTGCAAGTGGTAAGGCATTAATCCCCATTACCAAGTCCCTCGGAGAGGACCTCAAGCCGCTGGTCCCCTGGTTGTTTATTTACACACATATACATGCTTTCATTCATAGCAGTCAGGTAAAACAAGCATCTTTTTTTTTTTTAAATGAACATAGCTCCACAAAAGTGCTCGGCTCTGTGTAGCATTAATGACAGTAATTTTAATGCGATTTTGTACAGGAAATGTTTGACTATAGCTTTGATACACTCAGTATAGGGTAAATATTGTATGTTTAATACAGAGAAATTGAAATACAGTCTATTGTAGGGTGTGACATACATATATTACTCTTTAACTCAATACTCAATGCTTAAAATTTCATTAATAAAAAAGGTGTATTGTTATACTTCACAAAATAAGTACACTTTATCATCGTAATGAATTTATGATTGGAATAGTAAATCACGGTACATCACAGAAAAAACTTTGCAAGTATAAACGGAAGGGGGGGGGGAGGGGATAACTCTACATGTATCATGGACAAGAATAATATTTTTTGGTCAATTTTGGAGCAGAACTCTCATGTACAACACGCATAAAAGAGTAAATATGTATTTGTTTCTAGCTATAGCTAGCTGCAACACTGAATATGAAAACGGAGCAAAAAAAAATATATGTTTATACCTTGAGAAGACTTAAGTTATCTTTGTTCACTTTTATCAACGTGGAGTAAATACTGTATTATTTGGCAGTAGAATGCACTACTGAAGTTAGCTGAACTGACTTGATTATGACCAACATTGTGAAATATATTTGTAAGTAAGGAAGTTTTATTTATATTTGAACCCCATTCTCCCATAGTAAACAAACAAGAAGAATATAGTTTTGTGTGTACTGATATTTATTTTTGGAAATGGTTTTATAATCGTCGGAGACTTTGACTCACATTAAAACTATTTCGAGTTGTCTTGGTATTGTGTGTGACCTTCGGTGAGACAGATTACAGTTTTAGTAGGAAAACAAGCTTTCAACATTTTAAAACAAATGAATGATATGTTCAAGTTATTTAGAATACTACTATGATATTGTGCATTGATATCACCAATTATCATTCACATGCCTTGGCAAAATATTAAGTCATCTCAAAGAGAAAGACAGATATGATTAAGAACAAAAAAGGAGGGAGGGAGAGAGAAGAAGAAAGAAGAAGATATAAGTGAGGTGGCAGATTAGCCCTGTGCTAAACAAGTTATCCAATAAAGTATACAACTACAGATAGAGAGAGAGAGAGAGAGATAAAGAGGAAGAGAGAGATAGAGATGACACTTAATTTTAAGTGTTTTTCCTCAAACATTATAACTTCTACATGTACTTTAGAAAAAATCAACCTCCGGCAATTCAATAGCCTTATATGTCACCTATTGAACTGTGAGAAAATGACAACATATTATGTAATCTGAATATACGGTTCCTACGGGGCATACAATAGGGTATTGAAATTGCCCTCGAGTTGATTTTTGAAAAATAGTTGCGATTGTGTTCTAGCTCTCCCCACCCCCCCCCCCCCCCCCCTTCAAGCGATGATTTTATGCCATAGTAGACATGTTCACGTATCTCCTGATTCTACATAGACTTTCCAATGATGATTATTACAACCGAGCTTTCATGGCCAACATCACATTGCCTTTCTTCCAACATACAGCTGCCTTATTTCCACTTTAATTTTATCCTGTCAACACAGCCTCATGTATTATCTCTGGACTGGGGGGAGGGGGGAGGGACAACAAAAAATACAACTTATCGATCAATAAACGTCCATTGCTGAAACCGAATGAATTTTTTTTAGTATGAAGAATTTATTTGTAGATTTGATGGTCCGAATACAATGAATTGCATAAAATACTAATGGGTTAGTGAGGGCTGGAGGAGGAAATTATTCCAGTATGAATGGGGTAAACAAATGTGCAGACTCCTATGTACTTAGATCAGCATCTAATTTGACTCATTCATTTCAATTTGAAAATGTGTAACAATATATATATAACTACATACCATGAAAGAAATATGACAACAAATAATACAAAAAACATATGAGTAGAGTGTAGACTTCTAGAAACTACCTTAACAATCTATAAACAAAAAAGAAAACATTAATGAATGGATCCAAACAAAGAAGGATACTTTCTGGTAATAGTACATTTGAAAAGGTGTACATGTGCATATAATATATGATTTTCCCGGAACTATACAAATATTCAATCTTTGCATCAAGTAAACATCGGCTTTTTCCATATAGACCTTTAGATGAGAGTTGTTATACGATTTAATGATTTTTAGAAAATAAAGATATACACAGTAGATGGTGTGACATTTGAAGAAATAATAACTAATTGCATTTGTGGTATTTAATCCTAACTTTACTAAGCCCTTTACACAGTAATTACCCTGGTCACTTGATTTCAAGCCAGCACACATTGTGTGCACCATCTCCACCCCTCCAAGGATTATTCTCATCTACAGTGCACCATTCCAATTCGCATGGCAAAAATAGATTAAACGCCTTGCCAAACATACACAAGTCCCTCTACTGGGATTGGAACCTGGCCCGGTTAATCCATATTCCAGCTGAGAGCCAGAACAATATTAACTCTGTGTGTAAACACATATATATTAAAGCTAATGCCCTTCTATCTCTCACAGGCCTATTCCACCAAATAGCTCCCTCATGATATATTTGATGTTTCAAAAAAACGTTAAAAAAACCTAGTGCAGCAGCTAATACATCTATACAGATTAGGGTATACAAGATTTTCTCTACCTTTTACTGCCCAAATATGTTACAGTTATAGAAACAAGTCTTATTGCAACCACTCACTCTCTCTCTCTCTTTCTTCCAATTTGTTATTAATGTTCCAAATATATAAACAATCTGCTATGTACAAGTATCTTATCTTGGTTGAAATAACTACTTGACTATTACATATTCTCCAGGTCGAGGCTTCACCGGATACCATTACGTGCCAAGCAGGAGGATGCGAATGGAAGCACAACAAGTCAATAGGCCTGTCCTCATCAGCTCGAGATATCCAGTTAATTTGCATCTTCACCAGCCCGAAGACTTGCACTATGCATGTACGCTGAGCAAATTATCTCGAGCTAATATCTTGAGCTTGAGTTTCAAGTTTCGAGGTCAAGTCTCGAGCTGATGAAGACCGATTTTTAACTTCAAGATTATTTCCCGCATCAGAAATATCAGGCTATTTGGCAATCTTGAGCTGATGAAGGCAGACCTATAGTATATTTTGAAAATTAGTCATCCTTTGCTGTATCCACACAACACATTTTAGTCAGTACATTGTCTAAACTGCTCAATGTGAAAGATTAAGCTTCTCAAATTATTGTTATCACTGCAAATTTTTCAAAGTGATTATTTTGGCCATTTGTGTGCTCTTCTGCTAGGCACACAACAGTATCACATTTACAAAAGCAACTTATAAATATGCTTATACATAGATAGACCATATAAACACAAACCTTTTGAAATTCACACATTGATTTAGATGCACAGTAATGCATTTGACAAGACTGTAAATTTTACTATATAAACATTACATTTTTTAGCATTGATAGAATAGTACAAGAGGAAAAATTATTTTTAAATCATTTTTTTTTTCTGTAATCTTTAAAGCTATCTTATTTTGTGCTCTTTTCAGTTGAATATGATACAGCAACTAAGTAAAAGAAAGTAATATGGAAATAAGCACAACAATCTCAAGCACATTCTCCATATTGTGTATGTGTTATTTTTCATTGTCATCATTAGCTTGGTTACATGAAAACAAAACAAAAAAATAAACAAGTCATCAAGCAGGACTCATCGCGAACAGGTGCAAGGTCATATGAACCTCAGGATTTTAGAATGACCCAAAATATTTGACACTTAGTTATTACAGTTAAGAGATCAGCAATACTTGTATTCTTCAAATCACAACCTTACAGAAGAATGTGTAAGGAGACCGGCACAGGGTACGAGCAAAAGCAAAATAAAAAAAAACATTGATATCATTTGATGAAATCTTTGACAAACTACACATGTGGTTCATCAAATTAAAAAAAAAATTCCAGTGACTATACTGGGAACCTGATAGGAGAGACGTTTCCACATAGGCACCTTCCTTATACAAAATGTTATTTGCTTAATTTAAGGTTTTGTTGCATTCAAGACGGTTTGTCCCTTTTGCAGACCTAAAAACCTGAAGTTCCATGAATCCAGGGACCGGTTTCACAAAGCCTTTTTTCAATGACAAGTTACAAAAATCAGTGACAAATCAGCTGATAACCTATCAGAAGCAAGGATTCAGTAGCTTATAACAAAAACTGTCATTTTTCACTGATTACAAGTTTAGTGAAACACCCCCTGGGGTGTATACTGAAGAAGTAAATTTGTAGGAACGTTCCACCAAAAGAAAAAACTATTTTTAGTGATTAAAAACTAATTCCATCTTTATATCTGTTGATTTGAGACTAGCTCCCTCCGCAGCAAAATGAAAAAAGAGCGCTCAATTTTCATTTCTGACAAAGAATTTTCAGAATCTATGACTGTACAATTTCACACACAATATCTGAAGGATATATTCAAAACACTTGCCGAGTTTCATGGAATTTGCACAAGTCTGCAAAAGGTACTTAGTGAGTGATTCAATATTCATCTAAGAACACTAAACACGCTGCCTCATGAATGCAGGAAGGGCAGCCAACACAGTTTATTGTATAAATAAGAGTTGTAAATTGATCTGGCAAAAAACAAAATAAAGCAATGATATGTATATACAGTCAAACCTGCTTTAGTGACCACCTGTCTACAAAGACCACATTTTTTGGCTCCCTTGAAAATGGATTCTCATTGAAACATGTACTAAAAGAACCTGTCTTCAAAGACCACCTGTCTACAAAGACCACTTTTTGTGTTCCTCTTGAGCGGTTGCTATAGACAGGTTTGACTGTATATCATCTGCTGAGGGCCAGTAGGTCATTTCTTCACATCCTTTACACAGAGTTAACGCCCTTGTGGGTCTCAGCAAACAATTGGTTAGCCCTAAGAGAAGGAGGCATCATCTAAGCTCCATAAATCATCGCCTCATTAGCCCCTTGATTTTATAATTAGAGTTATACCTAGAGACAAAGAAGGTCTTGGGGTCCATAAAGTCAGTTCGTAGGCCAAGACGGAGAGCTGACCACACAGCTAGACCAACTTACAACTCAATTAAAATCTGTTCCAATGTGGTGTGAAAAACAAGAATTTAAGTCTTGCTCTGCTATAAAAGACGTTCTACTTTTGGTCAAAATGTCCTTGCATCACCAATGCATTTTCAGATGCTAAGAGGTCCCTTGGATTGATTTTGGCGCTGTTGTGGAGCCCATGGTACTTATTTCCAATGCCATAAAAGTTGCAAGTGAACTCATGGAAAACTGCTTTAATAAGTATTCATCTAATGAGAACGCTCTTAGATCATCTATTATAGGACATCTTAATTTGGGAACAGACATGAACAAAGTTATTTGATCGGTACAGTCTATGACATGATCTCAAAATGTTTACAAGGAAGCAAATTTGTTCATAAAAATACCCATATCTGAATAAAAAACTATTGATATTTCTCTTGATCTGTGAAAGTTATTGATACATCTCTTGATCTGTTAATGCTAGCTTTCTGAAGGAAGTGTATCGGAAGTCTCATCTCATTTTAAAAATAGCAAAACAAATAATTTGTTCTCTTTTCTTGCATATTGACTCAAAGAGTCTGATCAATTCATTGGTTCCTAATAACAATCCTATACCCACTAGTACAAATCTAAATATTAACATGTTTTCCCTCATGAATATTCCAACATACAACTTTCTCATGTAATTTCCTTAAATAACATGCATGCATAATGACATTCTCTCCGCCAAAATAGTTATGCTTGCCTTAATCAAACTTCATGGAAATTCATGGAAATATCTGACTTCACTTCTTGGAAAAATGTGTATTTCTGTGTAACACAAAATATGCAATACCATACAAAACAGAAGATATTGAATGATCTTTGTCATGAGATATAATGTAGAATCACCAGAAAGGTGCGAGTTTACATTTCATTAAGGGGCAAACCATTGTACACCAAACAATTTGTATTCCCCCTCCATGCAGTGTTTACTCACAACATTCCGACGTGCCTGATACAATGTACTGGTAGGTGATGTAAGATTGGCCAAGGTTAAAACACAACCCAACCATACAACTGACATTAAAAAAATATATTTTGGTCTCTTTTGCCACACATGTGACATTTTTTTCACAATCTTGAGAAAAAATTGGAATGTCTTTATAATTTCTTAAAGAGAAGGTTGAGGTCTGGGAGAGGTGAAAGATAATGTATATTTTTTATTAATTCTCTTAAGTTTGGAAAGTATTATAGAAAAATGTTGCCTCAAAAGGATGGCTCTTCAAATGCCTTCACATTCGAAAATATGACAACTTTCATGCCACATTTTTGTGTAGGCCCTTGTACACGTTTCTGTGTACAGTGCATGTGGCACTTTAATAGCAAGACTGGGCCAATTTCTGATCACTTTGATGATTCCAAAACCTCACGGTATACACCAATAACTTCCACACATTTTTTTCACATTGCAATTGCATGACCAGAACTCAACATTCTCTTTCAAAATGTCATTGACAAAGTGTGAGTTTTCTTGTTTTCCACTCATCAGCAAATATCAATGGCTCGTCCTTTCACTTATTTGCACGTATAAGATGTTAACATGGATGCATCAGTACTCTTTGTTCGACTAGTTTCAGTAAGAGGACAAAGTCCTCAATTGTTAATTTCATGACGATTGAATATTTAGTTAAGATTACCTTCATCTTTATTTAAATACAAGGCTCTATTCTTACATCGGTTGGGAATTCCTCTGTGCAACCAAATAAAGTAGTCTACTCAGTTCTGTTTACACGTAACATTTTTACCGTTACCTGAATTATGCATATTGACCAACTATAACCCCCATCCATCGGTATAAAGAATATACATTTAGCATGTGTATTATATCATTGTGACATATCAAATTGTGCAACATATTCAAAATAAATTAAGACTATAATATACGCATGTATTATTTTGGTCTCAATATTAAAGAGGATGATATAAAAGCTGTGAGTTTAATTAACATGAAGTTTGGCTACTCAGACAGCACACAAGCTTGGGAAAGCAAGCATAAACTACGAGATACAGCTACCAATGTTCACTTTGACATCTAAACAGAAGTATTATATCAAAAATATGTAATTGATGTCATATTCCACGATGAGAAAGTCTTACTTGGGGGTGTTTCACAAAACTTGTCATCAGTGACAAATGACAGTTTTTGTTATAAGCTACTGAAATCCTTGCTTCTGATTGGATATCAGCAGATTTGTCACAGATCTTTGTCATTGTCATTGAAAAAAGACTTTGTGAAACAGGCCCCTAATAACATTTTGTTCTTCTTTAGAAGGGAGTACAAAAAACTACATAGTATAAAATAGCAAATATTTTGATATCACTGCTCTTGATCCCTGTACAAAAGTAAATGATAGAACAAATTATGGCGATACATAATAACAAACATTTGATGGTTCTAAATGAATAATTAAAAATAAAAGTTTTTTTTTTAAAGTCTCAATTTCCCCAGAAGCATTGTGTTTAATTACCTGTTGTTTATAGCATACAACCAAACTATATGCAACCTCTTTTCACATTATCATTCAACCCATGTAAAGAGAAGTTGATTTTCAATGGCGGATACTTCACTACATTGTGATACGTCTGGACTATAACACAGAGATGTAGTTTAGAAAATTAGAATTGAATAAACAATGCAAAAAAAGATATATAGAAGATTACCCCTCCCTTTTTTTTTTGATTGGGGGGTGGGGGGGGGGGGACAAATACATACATAGGGATAACAGGTTGATATGAATCTACTCTGATCAGTTTATATTATATCTTGTGGGTCCAGCACATATACCGAAGCCACTTTAATATCGGCAACATTTCTCATCAGTCGATGAGGAGGAGTCTGGGTTAGTTAGTTACACTCGCTTGTCTTCACCACTTTATCTCACAAATATATAAGTCTAATATTCACACTAGTTTTTTTCAATTATCACACATGTATGTATAGAAGGATAAAGGCTCTGTGAAACAGTACATACAATAATCATAACGCAAGTCGCGATTCCATCTGGGATGTTATCGTGGTGAAAGTCTCGTGGTGCATCAGGACGGCACGTCGATTTCTTCAACATACGTCGAAGGGAAATAGCCAACCTGTAGGAAATAAATAATAAGAATAAGTAACAGATAAATTAGGAGATCACATTGTCATGTTCAAAATCTGAGCCTAAACTTATAAACAATTGAGATTGATTCAAATTAAGTGCAACTTAAAAAGCAACTCTGTTTTGAAAAGGTATAGGATTTCTAAGTTTGTGATTGTAGGACTTGCAATCAATCAGGATCAGTTACAACTCTTGGACCCTGAGCATTTACTTGTGCTATATATGGCAGTATAAGAATTTTATTGATGGAATCTACTATGTATTTCATAAACCTGCAGCCTTTTCCCCCCTTCAAATGAGCTCCCGTGAATCTGATAACCCTGCCCCTAACCCAAAACCTATATGTAGATCGCCAATTGCAATCCTTACCCTATATCTCTAAAGGAATAAACGGTACGATTATCCTGGGGAGTGTTTGACAAAGATCTTAAGTCAAACTTAACTCTAAGTTGGACATAAACATTTGGAGAGCCATTTGTAGCCTTAAAATAAATTATGTCTAAAAGCAAAAATTGAAGTAATTTAGACTTTTCATAAATTTCACATCAAGAACATGAAATCTCCTTGATAACAGAAAATATGAATGATTTAAATCAACATTTTATGCCTTTTAAAGTGGCTCGGTAACATTGCCTCACATTGTGAAACAAAGCCCTAGATTTAGCTCATGCTGCAATGATAATTATAACCCTTTTAGTCAGTCAGGAACCCCATGACTTTTACAAGCCAATCGCCTGTCTGATTATCAAAATATTCATGATTGGAAATCGAAATCAAATTTTGCGTTTTCCTAATGGTTTTTATAACACTACAGTCTATTGGGGAAAATGGTAAAATCGGTCACTCAAAGATGTTTACTTTTTGAGGCACTTCATGATCATTTTGAAGTGCAATTTTTTTAGGGCTTCAATATTACACCATATCAAAGACACTGGATACCACGTAGGGCAATGCATCTCAGATTTAACATTGTTAAACGATGCTTTTAAGTTTGACTTAGGATCTTTGTGAAACACCCCCCCCCCCAGACGCTGTCTTACCCTGTCGCCTATGCATCCTTTCCACCACCCTCTATGTCCTCCTGCCTTGCTGATGATGGCCACCATCTCGTTTTCCCTCAACGTCAGCTCTCTCGTATCCCTCGCACTGAAGTCATACATGGCCTTGGCCTGCCCGGTCACGTTGTAACGTTTGTTCCTCCCACCTGCATTATCAAAATGAAGCAAAGTTATTTCATCATTATTGGTTATTTTATTGTTACTGTCCAGTGTAACAGTTGTTCTTCACATCTGCATCATTGAAATCAAGCAAAGTTTGATTTGATTTGATTTATTTGATTTGATTTGATTTATATATTTCTGTTTGATTTTCTTTTTGTTTTGCAGTTTTACAAATATATAAGAAACAAATCATTGCCAATATTACACATGACAAAAGAGTATATAGAATAAAGTAAGGCTGGCTGTAACTAATCAAAACATCAAACAGAAGAGTTGACAAAATAAGCAAAGCTTGATAGCATGAGTACCGTCAATGGATACATAATAATACAACGGAGGAACAAATATTAGTAAAAGGGTAAAAGGGGAAAAAGAGAAAAAAAGAGAGAGCGAGAGAGAAAAAAGAGAGAGCGAGAGAGAAAAAAAAAGAAAAAAAGAAAAAAAGAAAGAAGGGGTGTACATAAAGATTCACAGATGTATGTTATTTCATCATTATTAGTATTATTAGTAACACTGGAACAGATGGTTGTTGATGGTAGTTCCCCAAATGTGTGAGATATCATATGTTGGCATCTACATGTATTTAAAATGCATATTCCAACAAAATCATAATGATTGCTCTACACAGAGTTGGTAACAAAACTAACAGTAGTGAATTCCTAGAGGCTTCAACATTTTACCATCAGTGGTATGTGTAGCATAAAGAAAGTGAGAGTCAAGAGTGCAGCATTGGTGAAAGTTCTTATCCACAGAAAAATAACACTTCCCAACAGAATGAATAGTTTGTGATGTAGCTGAAGACAGACTTTCAATCTACTATTTAACCAAGGAGAGATTTATTTGGCAAAAGCAGCAAAGATACACATGTAAATATGGTCATTGTTTATTCTGCTAAAACATACTTTCAATCATGAATGAATATCTTCAAAAAATTAAACACAGGATTTCATAAATCAGTATGCTATGAAATCACACACTCCTTACCATGACTCAATTTGCTTCTACAATAAAATAAAAAAATCTGGATTCTATACTTAATCCATAATGTTTGGGCCCACTTATAGTGCTATCCTTTTAACAAACTGAATATTATATTCATCAACAGAAGTGGAACCTGTGGTCATTGTGCAATTACGTAGAAAGATGATTTCCAAATTGGATTTTCTCGTACACATTGTATTCAAATCTCCCAAAAAAATTGCAACCGATTGTTTCTTTTGAAATAATGATAATAGTCATTTTCTTTACCCAGGAAGACCTTATTAGCATCAATGCCAAATACCAATTTACACCTGGGTGGAGAGTGGTAAATGTGGGTTAATGTCTTGCCAAAGGATGTTAGAGTCAGACAGGGTTTTTGAACCCTTAACCCTTGGGTTGAGAGTCAAGCGATAAACCACTATACCATTACACCTCCACTTTTCATAAGTGCTAATTTGTCACTTTCATAATGCAAAACTAAGAAACGCAAAGAATAAGCTTTGTGTATAAGCCCGTTCATAGTTGCAGTCTGAGCACGAGCAAAATAATAAAATAACAATGGTAACATAACACAGCAATATTATAACACATTTAGAAAAAAGATGTTGATAATTAATTATCAAAATACTTAAGGCAATGTTATTAAATATTCCAAGGATAAATTCAATGAGCAAATGTCCTCAAATATTTAGTTTATTGCACAAAAATATCACTTTAGACAAACAATTTTAGTTGAGTATGAGAGGGAATAATTACACAGACGTAGCACATAAATGTGCAGAACCATCAACTATGGGTTAAATTATTCAACCTGTTACTCGGGAATACCACTTAGTGTTAGCTAATTAATTGAAAAGAGACCCAGCCATATATAATATATGAAGCCTAAGGCTGTAATGGATAAGTAACAGAGCCTAAAGTCAGGCAATAGATTGGATTATATCGATCCTGTTCTCTCCTTCAAACAAGATCTATAGAGAGATTCTAAAAGGGATAACTGCATTTAAAGATAAAGTTGAGTTCTGGGAAGAGATGAAAAATAATTTGTGAGCGTTATCATTCTTATTATGCAAATGTGGAAGAACATCAGATAAGACATGTTCCCTGAAAAGCATGGCTCTTCAAATGCCTTCATATTCTAAATATGTCATGTACACTGTAACATCGTAAAAATCCAGGGTAGGATTTTTACGCCACGTGTTCGTGTAGTCCCATATACATCTTTCTGTGTACAGTGTTTGTAACTTTACCAAGACTTGGCCAAATTTCTTATCATTTTGATGATTCCAGAACCTTGCAATACACACAAATTCTTATATGCTAGATGATCAACCTTTTCTGGTCGATTCCACACCGTTTTTTTCACAATGCAACCACATGACCAGAACTCAACTTCATCTTTAATATTGTTCACAAGTCAGTAATCTTAGCACTTATCCATCTCTGAGTAATAATTAGAACCATGTTCCCACCTACAACCTATGTGTTTTGGTTAAGGAGAAAAAGCGATTTAGAGCAAATCATGTATGAAAATTAAGCCATTTTTAAATTGAAATGAAATGCAAATAAATATGAGATTTGAAGAGGACGTTTTCCTATGAAAGTGTTCATGTTCTCACTTTTTCTAAATAGAGATTATGATTAATGAACGAATAGCAGTAAGAGTTTTGTTTAGAATAGCTTTACTGTACATGTATAGATAAATTTTTTGAAAATTTGCTGACACAGTGACTCATTATCATGGTTGCTTCTTTGTGCATGTTCATTAATACGTTTACTGAAATGACTTCATAAATGACTTCACAATTAACTATTTTTACAAGAAATATTCTTTTCTTTATTTATCTAGGCATCAATTATATTGCATTCTGATAAAATGTTACTTTTTTGTCGATGTGATGACCATGACTACATCAGGAGTTAGTGCAAGGAGCAGTACTATACTCAAGCATTTCTTAGTAAAGCATTCAGTCTACCAAAACCAAATAATAATTAAAGTGAAATTTTCTAAAATTGAGCGTATATGAAGTAAAAAATTATAATTAAGCCATAAGCCATATATTGTGGCTCAAGATTAGAAAATAAAAGATTTCACGGCATACCTGTAAGTATCGCTTGAGAGTTGGAACCAGCTCCTTTTTCAAAAATAACGTTTTTAAAAGGAAACGTTCAGGTTTTGGAACGATCTTACACTTTATAATGAACGATTTTGACAAAACTGTCTGATACCACATACATGTAGGCCTACTGTCTGGTGATGTCATAAGAAAATGAAAATAATAAAATGTTACTTAATCCTATAATGAAACGTTTATACAGTCAAACCTGTCTATAGCAGAGATGCCAACCTTCTTCAACAAAAAAAAGTATTCTTAAGAGCAAAAAACAGTATTTTTGGAAAAAAACAGTATTTTAGAAAAAATCTCTCAACTTAACATATCGCCCAATCGAGGAGCTTAAAAACCAAGCAGTACCACGTATACGTACCCGGATCGGAGCGCGACATGCATACATTACATGTGGGTTGTTCGCAATGTGCGCAGTTTGGGGCCCGTATCACCTTCCTGCGTGCATCGTTTTAAGATGTAGGTGCATAATACACTTACGACACAAAGCCCATGATCAGAAATTAAGAAAAACATTACTAAAAAATTTTTAAAACGTAACAAAACATACAAAAAACGTACTGCCGTATTCATAGCGAAAAAACGGAACAAATACGGCAAAAACGGAACAGTTGGCATCTCTGCTATAGCGACCACCCCAGGGAAACACAACAAGTGGTCTTTGTAGACAGGTTCCTTCAGTACATGTTTCAATGAGAAAGCATTTTCAAGGGAAACAAAGAATGCGGTCTTTGTAGAAAGGTGGTCACTAAAGCAGGTTTAACTGTATTACTAAATCCTATAATGAAATGTTGTTATTATAAACAATAGCATGGGAGACAAACATACAACTAGGCTTCATATAGGTTCAGTTTATTCCTAAAAAGTGAGTGTACATGTTAGGGCTGTGCACAACAGTGTAATGAGGTACCCGATTACACTCCCAGGCTCATAAGCGAATACTCGAATATTCAGACGCCATGTTTTTTTATAATTTCTTTGAATTTTTTTGATTTTTTTTTTAAAATTTTAAATTTTTTGATTTTGTTTTTGATTTTTTGATTTTTTCATTTTTTTTCATTTTTTCTTTTTTTGCCACTACCATACACTGGGCAGTTTCCCAGGTCCCTCGCTGAAAACGCATGCAATTTTACCTTGAGTTGCAGTTGAAGGCGCCGATTTAATGAGAATAATAACAGTAAACAATGCTGTTTTAAAAACCAAAGATGGCAGAATAATCCATTTTCCTCCAAGTCCAAACAGAAATCTGGACATTTGGTCCCAGTTTCTGAAAGGTGAGTTTGACAGTGTGGCCACCGCTCTCCCTGGCACGGGTAAGCGTGGGCCTGGACATTTTTTTTTTTTTTTTTTTTTGCGGCCGAATATTCGGGTACGAGAAATCGTACCCGAGTAGTTGTCAACCATGCGGGTACTCGAGCATTCGACTACCCGTCGCAGCCTTAGTACATGTATATGAAGTAAGATGTGATAAGTAAGCCGTATGTTGTGCACAAGATTAGAAAATAGATTCCACAGCATACCTAAAGAAGTTGGAGGTTCGGCTTCAGGGTTGGGACCAGCTCCTTTCACAAATAATGGTTTATAAGGTAAACATTACAGTCTCATAACGGTATTACACTGAGTTACAGTAATTTTATTGCTAAATCAACCTTAGCATGGGAAACAAGACTAAGATCAACTTTCAGTTTAACTTAACTATGGCAGGCTGTTCATGTCACTGTTTGCTCTCACCATTTACTGGCATTGGTCTCTCAAGGGACGTCACAAATCTACATCTGGGGGGGGGGGGAGGGGACTCTTGTCGGCAGCAAGCCAGGTACATGTTAAAAAACCCACGCGGGAAGGACTTTCATTAAACTGCGAGGTGCAGTTGAAGGCGCTGATTTGTGCTTGTGCTTGTGAACTTGTCACAAATGATAGTAACAATGTCGTTTTTAGAAGAATGTGTAAGATCATTAATGTAAATTAAAAACAGTAGAGGACCTAGGATAGAACCTTGTGGTACGCCATGTGTAATAGAAGAAAAATTAGAGGATTTTTATAAACTACATGTACATATTGAGAGTTTTGTTCTAGTTTCCGAGTGGTGAGTCAACACACCAATTACTGAGCTGGGAGACATTGCCAGGCATAGTGCCAGGTGGGGGGCATAAATCGAAACTTAAAAAAATAAAAACAAAACCATCCAAATGAAAACGAATAGTGCCATGGGCGGTCCGATACCGGACGGTTAAACGTTTGACTACAGCACTTAGATTAATGTCTCGTCAGAGGAAGATAGTGCTGGGGCAGAGATTTGAACCCTGTACCTCGTGGTTCACAGTCCGGAAATTATTCTCTAGACCACGACACCTCTACATGTAACATTAATAATGATAATAATAATAGGCATTTCTATAGCGCCGCATTTCTATAGCGCCGTCTGTCTAGAAATTTTATTCCGGGGTGCATTTATTATTACCCTGGCTTTAGCCTAGCTGCCATTACAGCGCTCCAGCATTTCACAAGGAATTGATTCCTGCCAGGTACCCATTTACCTCAACTGGGTCGAGTGTGGCAAATGAAGATTAATGCCTTGCCAAAGGACGTATAGAAAATGAGGACCCTTACCATTCTCTGTTAAGGGCATGGTTCCTCCTCTGTATGGCTTCCGTAGATACGCATTCAGCCCTCGGAACACGCTCACAAGGCTGTTTGTACCGTAGTGGTTGATCATTTCCTGCAGAGGTGGAAATGGAGCATTTGAATGAGTGTAAGGCTACAAGACATCAGTAAATAAGAGTTTATAAGATGATGAAGAGGATCCAATTCAAATGATTGGTTGAGAGCTTACACGTGACCAGGCATTTATTTTGCCTAACACATAATTTTATTAATGACCGGTCATTAATAAAATCATGTTATAAAACATTTTTTTATAAAACAAATAAAACATCATCTTATAAAACAAATAATACAAATCATTTTGTTCGGGCATCAGTAAAATAACCCATACTCTGTACCTTAAAAGAAGTCCAAATGCCCTCGGCAGACTGTTCCAAAGGTACCTTGTGTGGGTTATTCTTACTAATGCCCTCACTGCAGTGTATTATTTGTATACTATTGACCAATGACCCAGTTAGATTGGAACTGGTTATACAAGAGGAGGAGAAGAAATGGAAAATAGATACAAAAACAACAACACAAAAAAGCAGAAAGGTGGAGTAAGAAAAGGAGAAGTGAGGAAAAAGGGGAGAAGAAGCAGTAGTAGAAAAAGGAGGAGGAAGAGGAGGAGGAGGAGGAGGAGGAGAGGGGGGGGGGGGAGGTGATGGGAAGGAGTAGAATGAGGAGGAGACGAAGAAAAAAAGAACATGATGGAGAAGTAGAGAGAATATGAAGGAAGAAAATGCAAATATAAGGAAGGAGAAATAGTGTAAGAGGAGAGGGAGGAGGAGAAGAAGAAGGAGAAGTAAGAGGAGAATATGAAGGAAGAACATGCAAAGGTAAGGAAGGAGAAATAGTGTAAGAGGAGAGGGAGGAGGAGGAGGAGGAAAAGAAGAAGAAGAAGAAGAAAGAGAAGTAAGAGGAGAATATGAAGGAAGAACATGCAAAGGTAAGGAAGGAGAAATAGTGAAGAGGAGGAGAAAAAAATAGAGGAGGAAAAAGAGAAGAAGAATAAGAAGGAGGAGAAAAGGAGGAGAAGAAGAAGAAAAGGGAGAGAATACAAAATGAGGGATGGCAAAGAAAATGGAGGAGAAACAGTAGAAGATGAGTAGAGGCTACTAGACTTACTTGTAATGAAGAGAAGGTTGTTTGTTCTGCTAGTCCAAATTGATTGTTCTCCATCACTACCTTCATATGCTTGATATTGCCTTCATGTCTACCAGAACAAAAACAAACAATCAAACAAACAAACAAACAAACAATCAAACAAACAAACAAACAAACTCTCACAAGTCAATGATGCCTTCCACAATCAATCAAAGGGTTAACCAACGTTTCATGAAAACAAATTTTCCTGATTATCCCTGATTTTTTTCTCCAGATTTTCTCTGATTGTTTCAAATACTTCCAGGGTCATTATTTCCAGCAATTTTTCCAGCGAGAAACATTTTTAAAATGTATGATTTTAATTTGTTTAAATGTTAACAGACTATCTTTTCTTTTGGTGCCAATGAAATTGCCTGTTTTTTTTCCCTGATGTTTGTGATTTTTTTCTCAATTGTGTTTGTTGCTATCGACTCGAGCATTCTTGCTTATGATAGTCGGCTTCTGCATTTATCTTGATTATTTTTACTTTCCTCGATATGTTCAAGCTTTCAATTATGCATTTTCTATTTGTAAGTATTTAAGTTGTCATTCTTTATGTAAATCAATTATATTATATACTATTATTGTTATTTGAATGTTTTATATTTGATTTATCAATAAATGCAGAAACATCTGCTATAAAAAAAAAAATATGTGTATGTAATAATCGATACATTAAAAAAAAAACAGCATACACAGAGGTTGCGCGAGGACGCTTGGAATAAAACAAACCAAAAATACAGGGAGAAAACGCTTGTCATTAGGTGCATTTCAGCTTCTCTGCAACTTATCTACAGTCTGACAATCGTTCACTGATTCCTGGGGGGGGGGGGGGGGTTTCACAAAGACTAAGATAGACTTTAAGTTGGACTTAACTATAGCAGGTCATTCATGCCACTGTTTGCTCTCACTATTTTAATACTGGCATTGGTCTCTACCATAATATGCATTAGATGTAATTTTACTTTGTCACTGATGTACACCTTGTAGAAAAGAAACTGCAATTAGTCTCTTGGGCCACGAATTTTTTTAAAGAATTATACCATTTAAAGGTATACACCAGTTTTGGAAACGCCCCCCTCTCAAAAAATGTCTTATCATTTTGATTATTCCAGAACCTTGCAGTACACACCAATACTTATATGCTAGATGATCAACCTTTTCTGATCGATTCCACAACATTTCTTTCACAATGCAGTCGCCTGACCAGAACTGGTCTATATAAAATAAATTAAATACCAGAGTAAAAAAAGTTTAGAATGGGGATTAAAGGGATCCGGTAACTTTGTCTCAGATTCTGAAAACATATTCTGGATTTAGCTCATGATGCAATGATAATTATAAACCTTTAGGTCAGTCAGGAACCCCATGACTTTTACAAGCCGATCGCCGGTCTGATTATCAAGATATTAATGATTGGAATTACAAATTTTGAAAACCGTTCGCCTGACGGTTTTCATAACACTACAGTCTATTGGGGAAAATGAGTATGGTAAAACCGGTCACTCAAAGATTTTTTACTTTTTTGAGGCACTTCTTGATCATTTTGAAGCGCAATTTTTTTAGGGCTTCAATATTACACCATGTCACAGACACTAATAACATGTAGGGCCGTGTATCTCAGATTTAACATTGTTAAACGATCCCTTTAAGGAGAGAAAACTTACTCCAAGCTGACAGCATATCCTCTCTTACTCTTCCTGAGTAAGAAACATCCAGGCTTAGTTATGAGCAGGTCATTGGCTTTATCTCTCTCCATCTCCCCAATAAACCTGTTATATAATATTGGATGGTAGCAGGGAAGAAAGACAAAATAGGAAAAAAATAGTGAACAAGAGCTACGACACATACTGCGGGGAAGATTGGAGAGAGGGACTAATAGTGTGGTACGGTATGTCACTGAAACAGCTCCCGTGGGATTTTTGTGCCAAAGTTGAATTTTTAGCACTTTTGGATTCATTGGGATCCAAGCTATCAGAAATTGATGGGGTTCAAATTTTCCCGAAGACACCAAATTTCCCTATTTCGCTTTATATAAGCCATTTTGGTGCCCAATAGAGACCCCCCATGGAAATGAAGGAGTGGTCTGAAAATTTGAAACCCATCATTTTTGGCCAATTGGGACCCTTTTGAAGCCAAAACAGCAACAACAAAAAATCAAGTTGGCACAAAAATCCTACGTGATTACATACCATACCGCACTGTAAGAGAGAAGTACTAAGAGTAAAATATAATTGTAACTCTCAAAATCAACATCGTCAATTTAATATCAATCATTAAAGGGACTTGGTGACATTGTTCAGATGAGAGAAAATGGTGCTAAGGTAGTGCCTTCAATGCTAAATGTACAATTAAAGATAATCTGAAAGTTTGAGTGAAAACATACCATCATTAATGATAAAAATATTGAAAAACTGATCTGATTGATTCTCCCAACTATATTATTATGATTTAATTTAATTTTAGGTGAATGTATTTCGTCACAAAGCAATGAATTGGAAAGTATAGAAAGATTTGTAAAAGCGTGTTATACATGTATGTATTCTTTTCATGGAAAAATGGTTGGGAAAATTCAAAAATTCTCGATCTTGTAATTGAACCACCATTCTCGCCCATAAATCTGTTCTTTACGCATTTCTCCACCAAAGTTTAACATATTCAGATACCACTTGCTTCTATTTCCACAGTAGAGCAGAATTTTTTCACACTTTAAAGCCCATCTGTACTAGTGTACAGGATGGATTAGACCACCCTGCAAGGTCACTGGACAGGTGGCTATCTCATCAACTCAGCTCTCAAATAACAAAAATGGGGGACCAATGGTCACCGATAAGGCATTGCTTGTTATATAGAGGGCGCAAGTAGCTACAAGTAGTGCAGTGGGCCTTGAAGCCTTTCACCTCTGCACAAGCGCATTCCAAGTGAAGCAAGCACTGTGATGAAAGAGCCTGGAATTGAACGACTTACCAAGGGTATTGAAATAAGTCTGATACTTCGGGTGCTTTTGGTGTTTGCGTTGGCGGTGGTTGTCGAAATCCTTGAGGGGGAGAAATATCAACTGGCTCATAATTCTCCATCTGAAATGGGTTTAAAGAGAAAGGTTGAATACAAGCAGGGTGGTTAGCTATGCATACATCATATATTTTGGAAATTTATATTATCAATATAAAGAAAACAATTAGTGGACAGTGAGGCAATGACGTCACAGACTCATGAGTGAGTTGCCAATTTGTCTTGTGATCTTCAAAGTTTTTCCTGTCATTACAAATTCATAACCTTCTTAGTAGTTATCCGATTTTGCTCAAACTGTTTATGATTGGTTTGTCTGATTTTTCTGCTTCTATTGAAAGTAATTTTTTTTTGGAGTGGACTTGCCCTTTAATTGTTCACCAATAGAATGCCAGCTAGTTTTGGGAGGTCAATTCAGTGCATACAGCTGTACCCAAAATATTTTTAAGTAAATGTAATAATTTCATTTCGAAATGCAATTTTAAAATTAAAGAAAAAAAAAAGCCTTCCAAAACAATGCATGTAAGCTGGGACCCGTTTCACAAAGCCTTTTTTCAATGACAAATGACCCAAACTAGTGACAAATCTGCTGTTAACCAATCAGAAGCACGGATTTCAGTAGCTTATAACAAGGACTGTCACTTGTAACTGATGACAAGTTCTGTGAAACGGGCCCCTGTTGTGCATACTAACCAGGTAAACTGATGGTACAATCCCAATTTGGTTTGGCGGGCTCAGCATCTTGACTCGCTTCCAGTCACTGCCGATGTTCTCCAGCACGACCACCTGCGATCCGCCCGACACGATAAGAGGCTGTTCCCCGTTGGGAGGCATCGGCGCACCCTTGTAGGACCTGGAGACCCTGAGCTGTTGGCCGGTGAACATTGAGGGCGCGTTGGATTTGCCGCCTGACTGGTCCTTGCAGTAGGAGGTGTGGTTGGAACTGATGCACTCTTTGTGTACTGAGATGCCGCACGTCGTGCACTTGTAACCTTGGAAGAACAGGCCTCTGTAATTGGATGAACCCCAAAAAATGATGGTCATTTAGTGTTACCCGAACTGTATCGGGTAACATTCCCAAATCTAGACTCTCGGCAGCTGCATCAAAGACTTGGAACAGCATCCCTCTTTCCATAAGGGAAATTACTTGTCTTGCCACCTTCAAAAGACCCCTCAAAACTTACCCTTTACCCCAGTGATCTATGTGATCTACTTCCTGAGAGGCTGTACATTTTTTGTCCTCTTTTCATATATTTGTATTTGTAAGCGCTACTATGGTACTTATTGTTTTTAGCGCTCCTAAATATTCAATATTATTATTAACACATCTTGTGTTAGATACACCCTTTAATGGCCTTTTTCATCTTTGATCTGTCCATATAGCCGCAAAACGTCTTACCAAACGACTACGAGAAAGGAAAGTACATGTACAGTACATGTGTAAGCTTTTCTGTAAAGATTTTCAAAAAGTGGACCCAAGCCTTTTAGAAGTCCAGGGTATTGTAACTGAGGATGAATGGCTTACTAAAAGGCACACGAGCATCAGCTGGGTTTCGAACCTGGGAATTCCCCCTGGGAGGTTTCACTGTATGTTCCTTTATGAAATAATTACCCTTGTGCTATAGATGATAAAATATGATGTTACCTGAGAAGTTTTCCGCATGAATCGCACGTTGTAGATTCCTTGAAGGATGTGTATTCTACCGTGTGTCCTTTGGTGGTCCTGGGAAGGATGTTGTCCCTAAGAAACAAAATAAGAAGAGTGATAAACGGAACAACCATAGTCATTTTAAGGCCACGATAGAGGGTACAAGGCAAGGGTGAAAGAGAAAAAAATAATCAAAACAAAATAGAAAAATGGTCTCCAAATGGGAGATACAATACACACATGTATTCAGGTTATTCACCAAAACTTATTCAAATTTGATGATTATATCTTCAGTTCCAACAAAGTATTTTTACCACTGAATTTTGAATCTACAAAGTATCTTCAAAATGTTGCTTTGAAATGGACTTGCATGCTATAAAACTACCAAGTTTCATGTAGCCTAACAAATACATAACATCATTTGGGACTATCCTTACAGGGACTGCTTGGTTTGACCAGCTGTCAAAAACTATCTGTTGTTACCAGAACTGGCTATTTTTTGCAAATATACAATATATGTCCCCTCCCCCCCCCAAAAAAAAAAAAAAGTTTATGTCAAAATGATGATACTTACTGGGCAAGGCGAATTCCTTCCACCCATCTCAGCATCATCTCTTCAGTTTTACAGTACACCTCAATGTTGCTCCTGGAGCCAGTCTTGTCTTTAGCAGTCAGATGAAAGCAGAAGTTCCACTGTAAAATAGAATTCACGAAAGTAGGACTTCAATAATATGTAAGTGCAGTTAAAGATAAAGGTGAGTTCTGGTAATGCGATTGCATTGTGAAAGAAAAGGTGTGGAATGGATCAAAAAAAGTTGGTCATGTAGCATGTAAGTATTGGTGTGCACTGCAAGGTTCTGGAGTCGTCAACATCATAATAAATTTGGCCCAGTCTTGGTAAAGTAACAAGCACTGTACACAGAAAGATGTATATGGGACTACACAAATGGTGTCGGGGCTAGTACTACCTGATTTTCTTATCTTTCTATGCTCATTACTCAGCCAGTATACATTTTCTTCCAAAATTGTTTGGCACATGAAATCTATTTGTAATCTTAAACATTCAGTGTAAGTTTCGTTTGATTCTGTGAGAATTCCTTTTTTTTTTTTTTTACCAGAACTCAAGTTTATCTTTAACAACTATGTGATCCAGCATGTGACAGTGACAATGAAGGTAATTTACAGGATAAAATAATTGAAAGTAATTATTGTTTGGAAGATGAATTTATGTCTTAACCAAAATTAGTTACTGATTTATAGTGTCGTACATTTAATAAGAGAAGTTTACTCAAGAATTTCTTAGCTATAAGTGATTTTATTCATTTCATTTAGTTACACTTTTTCTATTTATGGTTTCACAAAAACATGGATTCAAAGTAATACACCCATTTTATTTCATTTAGAAGGATATTCATTCATTCATCATTCATTCATTCATTCATTCATTCTGATCGTATAAGTGGTAGAGGAGGAGGAGCGGATTTTCTTGTTTTGGACTATTTGGATTTTACAAAATAATATAAATGATATCCCATTGGAATGCGATGGTAATGAATGTTTTTTTTATTGAAATTATTAATAAAAATGCAATTGCATGACAAGAAGAAAAATAATAAACTTAAGTATCATAAAGCTCACAGCAAGATAAACAAATTATTGAAAAAGGCACGCAAGGCATATTATGCACAAAGATTCAAGAAGACACAAGGTACCGGTAATATAAAACAAACATGGTTTGTAATAAATGAGATATTTTGTAAATCTAGGAAGACTTTGCCTTCATATTTTATAGTAAATGGACAAAATATATGGTGGTGGTTATTTTACCTGACTGCTGAGAAAGCATAAATGCATGATCCACATGATATTAAAAAATTCTTTTAATGATTTTTTCATTGATATTGGATTGAATATATGCAATACAATTCCTGTAAATAATATTGTAAATTATAGAGATTTCTTGCCTGAACTATGTGCTGTACCTTTATTTTTGAAACCTGTTAATGCAAATGAAATAACTACAATTGTGCAATCATTAAAAAATACTCAAAGTTGTGGAATAGATCATTTTAATCTATACATGTATGTAATTAAGAAAATTATTGATTATATTTTAGAATCTCTTATTCATATTTTTAATACATGTATGTTTTTATGTACAGAAATAATACCATCTGAAATGAAAATGGCCAGAGTCACTCCAATGTACAACATGATCATGTTCATAATTTAAGTAATTATAGACAAATCTCAGTTTCACCATTTTTTCCAATTTTTTTAGAACTCAACAGACAGAGTGTTTTAAGAATACAATGCAGATCGTGCAGGATATTTGCATACATAATGCTACTTACCCGTCCACTTCTGCCACTTGGTAAGTTATTCTCCACATTGTACTGGGTTAGGTCAATGGTGTCGTTGTACTCATGGCTCTCCTGGCCCTGTAAATATTCAATTCAATTCGATCCAATTTTATTTCACATCTCTTTAAAAATTCATCAGAATATATTCAAACAAATCAGTATAAATTAAACAATATAAATATAAAAACATTCATTGACATGGTACTATGAAAGAAGGATGAAGGGTGGTGGATGTGAGGGATCAACAAAGGCCATTGGCCTGTCAAGGCTAATCCCCTATTATATTACCACACTTCAAGAAAAAGAAAACAAATATATTAAACAAATATATACCCGGTACATCAATATCAACATCGACATCAAGTCAGACGCTTTCTATTATCAGGATGAGAGAAAAACTTGTTCCCCTTAAGCATTTTGGACCGTGTTTAATGGATATCCATTATTTCAATCAGCCGTCAAATGGATGGATTATGACACTAATCTATTAAAGTACAAACTTGAATAGAACATTGTAAGAATAACATTTTTTTTTAATTATCTTGAAAAGAAGCTGATTATATAAAAAGAAATACATTGTTTTCCAAGCAGCTAATGAAATAAGAAACTTCCAAAAGGCTGCTTATAACCTTTAACTGTATAGCGCAAATCGTACATCAAATTTTTAATTCAATGCTAGGTATTTTTTCTTCACTTGGTTCAGGGGGGTGTTTCACAAAGACTAAGATTGAATTTAGGTTGGACTTTACTATGGCAGGCCATTCATGCCACTGTTTTCTCTTACCATTATGATCTTTAGATAATATATTTTCCTTCAATAATGAATTATCAAAAAATGTATATTCTGTAGATTTGTGACCATGATTTGTACGTCTTTTGAGAGACCAATGCCAGTAAATGGTGAGAGCAAACAGTGGCATGAACGGCCTGCCATAGTTGAGCCCAACTTAAAGTCGATCTGAGTCTTTGTGAAACATTCCCCAAGTTTTCAAGATGTGGATTTTGATAAAATCCCTGCGTCAAGTTTAACTTTAGATGAAATACATGTGTGGGCCTTACAATATACAGGAAATCTCAGAATGATCATAATATGATATAAACAATTGTATTTTATAGGTTAACATATGTCTTAACGAAATTTATGATTAACAGTACATGGTTTCTGAGAAAATAGAACAATTAATCAGACTCAAAGATTTGTTTATAGAAAATCATTACTTTCATACATTGTCTTTGGCTTCTTTGATGCCTAAAGATACATCTACTAGAAAGAAACCATAACATATCTTATAAATCCCTCTTTTCTAATTTTCTATGCCTCTAGCTCAAAGTGTTCAAAAGAATTTGGATCTAAAAAAAAGCTAAGTATATACATTGGTCACATAGCATTCCCCCAATCCTTTCAAGCCTCCACAGGGGGGCGTTTCATAAAACTTGTCATCAGTGACAAATTACAGTTTTTGTTATAAGCTACTGAAATCCTTGCTTCTGATTGGTTATCAGCAGATTTTTCACTGATTTTTGTTCTTTGTCATTGAAAAAAGGCTTTGTGAAACAGGTGTCTGGATCTTTCACAGTTTGCTCATACATTACATAACAAGCTATGTCTACATGTTGTTTTTTCTCTACGCTAAACCCAATTATGATAAGGTATATATGTTATCTGTAATGATAGTACATGTACAAGGTTTATCAAGAACCTATCTTGTCTATACTCAATCTACCCACTTAAAGGTAAAGACCAGTATTGGAAATGCCCCAATTTCAAAAAAAATAATTGAAGCTCTCATTACCAATCATGTGAAAGAATGTGTTTTGACTAATACATGATGATAAAAAATTTGCCGGGAAACCGCCTACTTATTCATATATTTGGTAAATTTGTTTCTCTCATGGACTGTGAGAGATATAGGGTAGTCCCATATACATCTTTCTGTGTATAGTGCTTGTAACTTTACGAAGAATGGGCCAAATTTCTTATCATTTTGATGATTCCAGAACCTTGCAGATGCTAGATGCTAAATGATCAACCTTTTCTGATCGATTCAACAACGTTTCTTTCACAATGCAATCGCATGACCATAACTGGTCTTTACCTTTAAACATGGGTAGCTTGGGATGCAAATATCTATTTGTGTGTATGTATACCAGTGTATTTATCTATTATCTTGTTTCTCAATGAGCAACGCTAAATTAGAGGCTATTGTATTGTAGATATTGACAAGGACGTTTTGAGTGTATGACACTGACTGTGTCAATTCATAAACAACAATATTTGACAAGGAAAACAACAATTAAACATCAAAACAAGTAATACATGTATATTGTAAAAACAGGTCACTTCACAACACGCCAACCACTAGAGTACATGTCATCATTTCATTTGTTACACATTGGTGAGACATTGAAAGGTAGCTCTTAATACAAGGAAGGAAACAACAATATTTCATATCAGAGCAATTCCACATGGGTGTTATTAACATAATTTGTACATTGTGTACTGTACATAGAGTTGGTCATTGGAGGCTGTAAGTTTGAAGTACATAGACTAGTGTGTGATTCTCACAGAAACTACTGAATGATATAAATTTTAACTAAAATCAACCGATTCCTCTTTGACCCGAATTTACTCCTGTACCAAAAGAATGTTGGTGACAGAAATGAATCAGAGAATTTAAAACTTCCCCTCCTTCAAACCTTCAATATATGCATTTCTGAATTTTAAATAGTGGCTGAGAAACTTGTATCCTACGTTACTCCTTCAAATAGAGACATATTTTGCATAAAAATTATAGGTTAAGCATTAATACACTTTAAATCACAATAATATATTTTTTTTCTCCCATGTGTAATTACCCTAATAGGCTTTGCAATTCTGACATCATGCAATGCAAACAACTTTGTTCATATACATTAGATGCACATAAATACAGTGTACAATCATGCAGTCACATACATTCGCAATACTGGGATATGCATGGAATCGGCAGACATTTGCGTATGCATGCAGTTTATTATTTGATTTAAAATGTATCAATCAATTGTGAGATACTGAATGTGATCAAAATCAGCTTTCTAAAAATATCTGAGCACTTTTCATTATTTTCCTCCTGCAAAAATAACCTCCTTTATTTGCAACATTTTGAAGCCGTTTGAAGCCGTTTGAGCAGTTTTCCATATTTTCCTCCAACTACCTCACTTATTTGCGCCATAAGTTAGCTTAAAGGTAATACAAAGTTTTGGGAAATTTTGAAAATTGGGTGGATAGTGATTCTTTACAATTTTGATATATTTGGATGCCCCTGTGGATGTATTATAAGCACTAGAAAATTTAGCTCCTCAAACACTTCTGTTTCGAGAAAAATTTAATATAAAAATTTACCGGTGCTCCTGGTAAATTTTGATAAATTTCAAATAGCGCCTACGACCGAACAATGGTAGCTGCGACCATGAAAATCTCAGAATACGTACATGTACATGTAGTTGTGATACATAATTTCCAAATGGGAATACATGTAGCTAATCGGTCAATTTTAGTCAAGAAACATTGTTTTATAGCTTGATTAATATGTTGACCTTGAGAGGGAGCTATACAACATAAAGAGTTAATTATTTACAATTTCATAACTTTAGACTTGATTTCAACCGCGACAGCAATCACTGAATATTGTAGGATCACATATGCATCCAATATGTTCATTTGAACCAAATTCATGACCCTATACCAAAACTTTATATTGCCTTTAATCTCATTTCTCTGTTATACTTTGTAGATAAAGATAAGCTGTATGCTTTTTTTCTTCTTCATATTGCTTTTTTTTTTCTTGTCTTATTAGAATGGTTAGGCAAAATTGGCATGCATTTTAAATAGCATTGTTAAAGATAAAGACCAGTTCTGGTCATGCGATTGTATTGTGAGAGAAACGTTGTGGAATCAATAAAAAAAGGTTGATCATCTAGCATACAAGTATTGGTGTGTACTGCAAGGTTCTGGAATCATCAAAATGATAAGAAATTTGGCCCAGTCTTGGTAAAGTTACAAGCACTGTACACAGAAAGATGTATATGGGACTACACGACACGTGCGCGATATCTATCAGGTCCAAACAGATATAATAATTTACCAAATATATCAATTAGTAGGCAGTTTCTCGGCAAAATTTGTATCATCACGTATTAGTCAAAATATATTCTTTCACATGATTGATAATAGGAGCTTCCATTTCATTTTTTGAGAGGGGGCGTTTCCAAAACTGGTCTTTACCTTTAAAGATTAATTTTCAAAGGTATACTTTATTCTTCATATTGCTTTATACATGCATTTCGGCAGCAAAGGGCTTTAAAAAAAAAATCCATTTCACTTCTGTATCTTTCAACCAACTTTGAATAATAATTATTTTTAGATATCTCCATCTTCTCTTCTCAACCCTAAGGAGTATCATAAGACAGTCTTTAAGCACAATGAACCCACTTCCACATTGGGAACCGACCTCTCTCACATGTATTGACAGCAAGCATTTTTTTTTAAAGTACAATCCGAAATAGAAGATAAAAACAAACAGTCGGTACGCACATTCATGTATTCAGCAGTATTGAGACGGCTAAATTTTGCCCGCCAAGTTACTTGCGCAAACTCTTTTTGTGTCGGCACAAATTTGACAGGAATGGCACCGACTTTTTGTAAACGACACTAACTGTCAAATGCTTGTATCTCATTTAAGGCCTCTTTGATTCTTAATCCTACGCACAGCATATCAAAAAGACAAACCATATTAGAGCCTTGATGATATTAGTATGCACGCACAGAGTAAAGCATGCAACAAAATACATCTAGCCATGCAGGATTGAACATCAAAGACAAGAAAACATTTAAAAACAGAAAAAACAAGCGATGACGTCAAGCCATTATGGAAAAGTCGATTCAAGGGGATTGCAAAGAAAAGGAACATGAAGACTCGGCACTCTACTACAAGGAAGAAAAAGATGCATGAATTCAAATCAGACACAGATGGATGGATGGAATATAGCTAGCTGATGGAGAGGAGAGGAGAGGAGGGGGCATTCCAGAACAAGGCTTATACCTACCCATAGCTTCTCCACGTTTAGCTACGAATGAGAACAGAAAGTGAGTCCATGGCGGACAGTCAGAGAGAGAGAGTCAAAGGAGGAGGGTTGGAGGAAGACGAGGAAAGAATATCCATGAATATATATGGATTATTCGATCGAGAGAGAGAGAGAGAGAGAGAGAGAGAGAGAGACAGGCAAGGTACTACCCCGGCTACATCATTCTGCGAAACTCTTGCCTATTTGAGGCAGTGGTTCCAAGAAAGTAAACTAGGGTACTGAAATTTCGTGTAATGACATCAAAAGCCAGTCCTTTCTTCACAAAACTATTCAGCTTTGCCAAAATCGTTTGCATTGAAGTCAGAGGTATTTTTTTGAGTACCAGTACTGGTATTTTAGAAGAAATCTTTCAGATTTTTCCAATATATTTTGGATTGTTTCCCTTGGTCCACCTAGACTAATGATTTTTGGAATCCATGGGATTCCACTATAAACAAGGTTAATGAAACGAGTATAGAATTCCCAGAATAACAGAGGTGATAGAACAAACAATATGAAAGCTTTTTAACTTCACACCTTACATGTAAATAACAGAAAGTTATGAAATATCAACATTAAAATAAACCCTGTCCCCACTCTAATCACATCATCAACCCCAACAGGCAAAAACAAGTTAAATGGTATTAGAGTCTTAGCTTTTGAACTCTTACAAACTTAGTTATCAACACTCTAATATAACATATTTTTATAAATATAATTGAGAGCAGTTTAGTTTTTAAAAAGAATTTAAAAATATAATAATAACAATAATCATAATATGTCCTAGTATCAACAGTCAAGAAAGAGAGTCATCATAAAGACAAGACATATAACAAACAATAGGCAAACCCAATCGTTATTTATGGAACCATCTAGTATCCATGCGATTCCTTATCTATTTGCATGTTATATAGAAACTACATGTAAGTCTCTAAAGACCTAGCACGCATGCAGCTCTATGAAACTCTAACAGTAATAATTACATCAGTGCAGCTATTAAAGAGCCATGTCAAATGCAAGACTTGCTACCTCTCTAGCTGTGTTTCATCAGCCATTCCCTGTAATAATACTGGCACATACTATACATAATCAGGCTTTACATACGAATGGCACACATAAACATGTAACTGCGTGAGTTCTAATGGAGATTGCAGCATTATCTTAGAACACACTGTGCTGTGGTACTGAGTTGTATATGTTATTAGCAAATCTCATTAAATATAGTAATGTTATTGAGTGTTATAAACATTCTTACGCACAAATTCATGAATGTCTCATCAAGTGATTTACGCATATTTCCTCCTTAAAATAAATCGAAAATCTAAGAAGTTTTTGTATTGAACAACCAGGCATTGCATTGCTTCAAAATATGACACTTTGGAGCACAGGTGCACGAAAAGATACATTTCGTATCCCACGTTTAAAAACAGTTCAGGTAGACTAAGGAGAATGAATTGTAAATGACAAGAAATTAAGACTCGTAAAGTGAAAGGGAGCAACAAAATAACCTGTGTTAACGGAAATCTTTTCACTTAAAAGTTGCAAAAATATTTTTTCTTTAATTGCATTTTACTTTCAAAATTAAAAAAACAATAGCAGGAAGTAAAAAAAGAAATGGAGAATGAATAAGTAACGTAAATGCTGAACACAAATGTTCATTAGAATTCATTTCCATGTCATTTCCCTGTTTCTGTTCTGAAAAAAAATGTCTCTTATATTTGTGATCAACTTGTTGATGATCTCTCGCTTTAAACTCTCCTGTCATTTTCCTGTTTCTGTTCCTTGTTTACAACAATATCAATATTCATAAAGTTATCTTCCGAAAGCCTGTAAGTGTTCATCCATAATAGCAAAGTGTTAAAAACTAAACCCCACTATTAAAACGGAAGGAAAAAAAAGGTTGCTAGAAACATCAACATAACAAAAATCCTGTTGAACAAAAGAATTAAGAGAAAGGACGCAGTTTTATCATGAACAGAAAACAACTTAAAAACAAATTTGAGATATAAAATTGCTTCATCATTGTATTTGCAAGTGAGAATTCCAGTTGTTAAGCATGTGATTAGGAAATTACATATATATGCATTTTTTGTTCTTTTGGGGGGTAATTTTTCTTGTTTTCTCTGATTTTTCTTTTGAGTAATGAAACAAGTATTGTGACCTACCCTTCCACCACTTTTACAGACCAGAAGGACCTTGTCAAACAAGAAGCAGTATCTTGTTTGTGCGGCACTGTGAGAAAGACAAAAGAAGAAATACAATTTGATTTGATTTGATTTGATTTGATTTGATTAGACATGTTTTTTAAATAATAATAATGATAATAATACCACTCTTATATAGTGCATAACACATTAATAAAAAGATAAAGTTGAGTTCCGGTCATGCGATTGCATTGTGAAAGAAACGGTGTGGAATCGATCAGAAATGGTTGATCATCTAGCATATAAGCATTGGTATGTACTGCAAGGTTCTGGAGTCATGAAAATGATTAGAAATTTGGCCCAGTCTTGGTAAAGTTATAAGCACTGTACACAGAAAGATGTATATGGGACTACACAAACATGTGGCATAAAAATCTGTCCCGATTTTTATGCTGATACATGCCATATTTAGAATGTGAAGGCATTTGAGGAGCCATGCTTTCCAGGGAACATTTTTTACCTGATGTTCTTACACACTAGCATAAAAACAATGATAACGCTCATACATGTAGTTATTTTTCACCTCTTTCCAGAACTCGACCTTCTCTTTAAGTATGTCCCTATGCACTTGGTATGTGCTTGGGTATGTCCCTATGGTTTATTCAATATAGAATATCGTCCCAGTTAATAGTAATACCTTTAAAGTCATATCACCCGAGCGACTCCACTGTGACATGAAAATGGAGGATCCTTGGCCAAGCATAGTAAAATAATGTTTAGTTTTGGCTGTTGTATTGCATTGTATTGGTTTGGTTTATTGCAAAATCACATCAAACAAGCAGCTCGCAGGCTGCAAATGTTCAATTTACAAATAAGTTTATAAAATAGAGAGATATAAACATATACAAAACTAAAATACATATTGTAAGTCTACTTTAGCAGAAATTATTTAGCATTGGTAAGATGAAGTCGAAATTGCAAAACAAAGTTTTAAGTTTAATGTAATAATATACTTTCATGTTGAAAGACCAAGACGGTGGAAAGGAGAGAATGGAGAAGAAAAAATGGAAATTGTTTGAGTGAAAGAGTTGAGAAAGTACCGATATTTAACAATTGCTATGTTAGCCATGGCTGGCATTCAATACTTAGAATAAGTAAGAAATTTACTAAGTAAACTGTTAAGCTAAGAACTTTACTTATCTCATATTCAAATCGCATTTTAGACTTTTACATACGTAAGACAAAATCTTATGCCCCCCCCCCCCCCCCCCCCCCTAAGGTCCAATGTGAAAATTAGCATGGTGATAGATTGAAGTATATTTAATGAGATGGTAATGTTTGTTATCTTTTATGTTTATTTTTTATTAATATTTTTATGACAATGTGCAATTTTTTTTTGAATTTTCAAAAATGCATGATTTTGAACAAAACATGGGCAGAGTTGATTTGAAATTGCTGTTTTAGTTGAGTAATAAAATTTAAAAAAATTAAATTTAAATTTAATTTAATTTAATTTAAATTTAAATATATTTGTTTCTAATACAAACATACAACTAAACACACACACAGGTACAAATGTTTGCTACATAATGTTGTTTTCATATGAAACTATAGTTTGCACAATATTTTGCGTGTCATATACTGTAACTGTTTAGTGACTGCAAGTTATTTGATTTGATTTGATTCATTGGTTTCTATATCATATTTTAAACATACATATTTTAAATATACATAATGTCCATCAGTGTGATATAATTTACGTTTCAAAGTACAATACATGATACTCATATAGTATAGAACATAGATAATATAATACATAGGAGAACAATACTCATTTTTACAATTAACATGATATAAGAGGGATACAGCCTAAGCATGAAGCTTGTAATGCTTGCAGCCCTCGATTAAACTAAATTATACAACACCTACGTGGATCCCTGTCATTTGATTGGAGGATTGTTGGTCACATGATATTCAACAGATGGTATATTGCACGGTCGTGCATTTTTGGTTATATGCGCCGTGCATTTTTGGTTATATGCAGACTGCGTACCTCTCTGCCGTGCGCGCGCGTATCCCTGCGTGTATCTGACGCGAAGGCAATCTGAATGTAATCGAGAAGGCTTGAATTCAACTTGAATTTATCTTTAATATAAGGAGTAAAGCATAATTTGTTGATTAACGTTCTATTAGATCTTCTTTGATGTTGTATGAAACAAATAATGAATGTTTTTCATTCGTTCAATGGTGCGAATATTTTCATTCGTTGAAAGATTAACATTAATTCTATTCTATGACGCCTCGTTGAATAGAATGTTAATCTTTCAACTCATGAAAATATTTGCACTATTGAACTCATAACCATTCATTATTTGTATACTATTATTACTTAAACTAACCTATTAAATCTAACCTAAACTAACAGCTACATACAGTATGAATTATAATGAAGGATGAGAATGACTTGCAATAGAGAGAGAGAGAGAAAAAAAAAAGATAGAGAGAAAGAGGGAAGACTGTATGAGATAAATCCACATTTCATTCCAATTTGATTTATAACTGACAACTCTTACGGAGTGAATTCAATTCAATTCAATTCAATTCAATCGTACCTTTCTGTCTGCCATCTAGAACTGTACAAATGATATGAAAAATATTTCAAAATAAAACTTCCTCCTACATCCTCGGTATAAACATGGCTTCAGATTTGGAAACAAAAATCCTGGATTTAGCTCATACTATACTACAATCATAATTCTAAACCTTTAGGTCTGGATTCCCATGACTTTTACAAGCCGGTCTGATTATCAAGATATTTATGATTGGAAAACTGAATATAATTTTTTTGTTTTCCTAACGTTTGTTTTATTATACTACAGTCTATTAGGGAAAATGAGTTTGGTAAAACCGGCCAATCAAAGAATTAAAAAAAAATAAAGCCACTTCATGATCATTATGAAGCACAATTTTTTTAGGGCTTCAATATTACACCATATCACAGACACTGATAACATGTAGGGCTATACATATATAAGACTGAACATTGTAAAACGATGCCTTTAAATATTTAACTTCCTTCAAGACCCCAAACTGATTGAGAACCATTTGGAATATTTGATGGCTGTTGGTACCCGAGAAATTGGACTCACTTCTTCTTTGCTCCAGTGACTCTGATCTTCAACTCTCCATCTTTCTGGTTACGTCCGTACGAATTCAGACTCTCCCCTCTGTAGCTGACCAAACTGTGTTCAAACAAAGACAAAGAATCGATCAATGAAACATGAGATGAGCTCATATGAAAACAAAACAATGTTTAATGTGTATGTAAACTCTCCATCTTTCTGGTTACGTCCATACGTGTTCAGACTCTTCCCTCTGTAGCTGACCAAACTGTACAAACTAACAAAGTGCTAGGGTTTAAAACCATGGTGAATAAAGAGTAGATTTATTTACCTTGCTTGGATTGAGTCATTGGTCTGCATCAGCTCATGGTCCCTCTTCACCTCATTCACAAACATGGAAACATCCTGAAAGAACAAGGGAGAAGGATAACATCATTACCAATACCACCACCATCATCATCATCGTCATCATCATTAACCCCATCACCACTACCATCATCATCATCGTCATCATCACCATCATCATCATCATTACAACCATAATTATCATCATCATCATCATCATCATCATCATCATCATCATCATCATCATTATCATCATCATCATTATCATCATCATTATCATCATCATCATCAACATCACCATCATCACCATCATCTTCACCACCATCATCATCATCATCATCATCATCAACATCATCATCATCATCATCATCATTACCACCATCATCATCATCATCATCATCATCATCATCATCATCATCATCATCATCATTACCACCATCATCATCATCATCATCATCATCATCATCATCATCATCATTACCACCATCATCATCATCATCTACTCCACCATCACCACTATTATAATCACAACCATCATCGTCATCATCATCACCATCATTACCACCACTAATGTTGTATAGCCCTTTAGGGGCCAAAACATGAGTCGGTCATTCAGAAATCTTCTTTTCTTTTTTTTTACTCCCTCTTTGGGCTGATATTTCTCAGTTTTCAATGCTTTAATGATTTTTTCTTTCTAAAAAAGCGGTAACAAAAAAGAAAACTATTTTTAAAAGCCGACCGTAGATTTCAAGATTTTCTTTTGTCAGAAAGGGTAATACAACATCTTTTGTTTAGGCTTTATCAGCATCATCGTCATCATCATCACCATCCTCATCATTGCCATTATCACCACTATTATCATCACAACCATCAACATCATTATCATCATCGCCATTACCATCATCTGATTCTGATTAAAGGTTGTTAAAGGTAAAGACCAGTATTGGAAACGCCCCAATTTCAAAAAATTAAATGGAAGCTCTTATTACCAATCATGTGAAAGAATATGTTTTGAATAATACATGATACAAATTTTGCCGGGAAACCGCCTACTAATTGATAGATTTGGTAAATTAGTTTATCTATTGGTGTGTGAGAGATAAAAACGCACCTGTGCGTAGTCCCATATACATCTGTTTGTGTACAGTGCTTGTAACTTTATGAAAACTGGGCCAAATTTCTTATCATTTTGATGATTCCAGAACCTTGCAGTACATTCTATTCTAGATGATCAACCTTTTCTGATCGATTTCACAACGTTTCTTTCACAATGCAATCGCATGACCATAACTGGTCTTTATCTTTGAGGGCTTACATATCCTTGATAGGGACTTTTAGTTTGAATAAATATGACCTACCTGCATCTCATCCAGCGCTTCATCCAACTCCTTCCTCTCTGTATGTTGCTTGTCTGTACTCTTCACTAATTCCTGTTTAAATGAACAAAAGGTAGGTAGCCATTAATACCTCATGAACACCGAGCTAAAGAATACTCCACTCCAAATACAAAAACAAGTCACATATGGAAAAGTGTCTCTCAATCAATCACTTAGTGTCATGTACCACTTTCTCATTTTAATATTTTTGTATAGTTTAACTTCATATTAAAGGTAATACAAAGTTTTGGGAAATTTTGAAAATTGGGTGGATAATGAATCTTTACAATTTTTATATATTTGGATGCCCCTGTGGATGTATTATAAGCACTAAAAAAATTAACTTCCGAAACACTTCTGTTTTCGAGAAAAATTGAATATAAAAACTTACCGGTGCTTCCGGTAAATTTTGATTAATTTCAAATGGCGACTACCGCCGTACAATGGGAACTGCGACCATGAAAATCTCAGAATATGTAGTTGTGGTATATAATTTCAAACGGGTATAGCTAATCGGTCGATTTTAGTCAAGAACATTGTTTCATAGCTAAATTGATATGTTGACCTTGAGAGGGAGCCATACAACATAAAGAGTTTATTATTTATAATTTCATAACTTTAAACTCGATTTCAACCGGGACAACGATCAATGACAATTGTAGGAACACATATGCTTCCAATATGCTAATTTGAACCAAATTCATGACCCTGTACCAAAACTTTGTAATACCGTTAAAGGGATTGGATATCTTTGTCTCAGATTCTAAACAATATCCTGGATTTAGCTAAAGCTGCAATCATAATTATAAACCTTTAGGTCAGTCATGTGCTATATGTGCTATAAGCTTTATCACAGGTAACTTTCAGGAAAAGTACAGTAGTGGCATGAGGGACAACAATAAGGAAATAAAGTACATGTATGATCATGTTCAATTATATTAAAGGATATAGACAATATTTTTTTTAAAGCTGTTTCATTAAGATCTACTTTGTAATAGCGTGACAGAGCACACAAACTTGTGGTGGAAAACAATAAGTAAGTTAGATCTTGACCATGAAATCAGAGATTTATTAATAGTGTTGTTCTTTCTTTTTTTTGGGGGGGGGGGGGTTGTAAAGTTCTACGGTTTGCATTTAGTGTCCAAGGCTTTTAAAGAATTTAGAGTTATGCTAGATCTCTTCAGCCACATTTATCAGTAGTATATTTTGTATTGCAGCATGCTAGTCAAGTTACTCTCTGCATGCATTACCCCAAAGTCCACCCCTATCATATGCCTTTATCAACAACAAAAATTGCCTTATCAGTTTCTATTACACACTTTCTCCCATACAATAAAAAAGATTTATTTATCCACCTGTCATTTCCTTAAACAAAATCAGAAAGGTAAAGTAATTGAATGAATAAAAAAAAAAAATAGAAAATTAACTCACCTTTAACAGAAGATGGTACTTGAGTATTCTTTGCATGGGAACACTCAGAAGATCACGCAACCGGAATTTCCTGTCATTCGCTTTCCTCTCAAACTCCTGTCGGAAAGAAAGAAGAATTGAATAGAAACCATGAAATGACAAAATCTTCTACCATACAGATCACATATTATACAAAATCAGTCACAAACTTATCAATAACAATTGCCATATTTCTGTAACAAATTTGCTCTCAGCCAATCAAATGCAACAATTTCAGTAGCTTCTAACTGTTATTGCCACTTGTCATTGACAACAAGTTTCATGAAACAGGGCCTAGGGTCCATATTCAATTCAATACTTAGTACAACATTTAAACTTTTTACTTAGTATTTGGCTTTGATAAAATACTTAGCCAATTTTGGTATTCAACTCAAACTTTTAGCTGAGTATTTTACCCTAAATTTAAGACAGCTCCCTACCAGATTTAAGCCAATTATTTGGAGGCCTTGATTGGCAGGCATATGGTTTTCTTACGCAGTATCATAACCTGCGCACAAGTATATGAGCGAGCATTTATTGTGATGCGTTAATTGCGCATTACTTTTGATTGAATGTGTGTTGTCACAATGCTTATCGGTAAGTATTTTACTCACATTTTGTCAGAGGTAAGTAAAAGTCTAAAATGCGATTTGAATACGAGATATGTAACCTTCTTAGCTAAGTCAATTACTTAGTAAATTTCTTACTTATTCTAAGTATTGAATTGCATACCGGCCCTGATCTCATACTAAACCCTTACCTCAATCTTTGCTCTGATTTGTGGGTTGTTGCTGACCTTCTCTATGTGGTTCTGAGCACCGAGCATGTGTGCACAGTAGAAGCCATAGATGAGGAAGTCTGGCTTGTGTTTCTTGAAGGCATGGGCCATGGTCGGAGTGGGCCTGCGGAAGGCATCTTCAAGGTCTCTTAGGAACCCTCGGTGCCGCCTCAGAAGTTCCTGTGTTCAATCAAGCGGATAGCTCTTGGTTTAATCACTGATCAAGGTGTCACATTAGGCCCGTTTTCATCAGCTTGAGATTGCCAAAAAGTCCTTTATTTCTGATTTGGGAAATAGTCCCGAAGTTACAAATCGCGTCTTCATCAGCTAGAGACTTGACCTTGAAACTTGAAACTCGAGCTCCAGACATTTTGCTCAGCGTTCGCGCATAGTGCCAGTCTTCGGGCTAGTGAAGACGAACTGGACAAATAGCGGGATATTTTGCAAACTAGCCCAAGATATCTTGGGATGATTATCTCGACCAAATATTCCGCTAATTGCAACTTTGGGCTGATGAAGACGCAAATTAACTGGATAATTTGCGATCGGGATAGTTCAAATAGCAGGATATTTGGCAATCTCGAGCTGATGAAGGGAGGCCTATTGCCAGTTCAACAACCAATGGATATGGGTGAAGTCTCTTTGCAAGGTGGTGGGGGGGGGGAGGGGGAGGTTACAACCACAAAAGTACTTCAGGGGGCAAAGCCTTATTGCAATAAGCATTTCCAAGGATGACATTACCTGTACTAATAACATTTACCAGCTTGAAGCGTTATAAAACACTTGTATTGTTTAAAGACCTTAAAGGTACTATGTACCATTTGCAGCCACAATTAAACTGATTGAATCTTTGCGCAGCACAAAACGTACAACCATTTAGTACAAGGGTTTGAAAATCAGACTATTACTAAAACGATTGCAATCACTAAAGTCGATTCGACAACTAATGCTTGTTATTTACCCACTCAAAGAATTTTCAAGCCCTTTCATTTATTTAGATTAGTATTATCTTTCAAATGCCATTGGAATTTAACCTTTTCATTTTGGGGGCCTCAAATGGGACATACATGTAGTACCTTTGATATTCAGTTAGTACACAGTGCTGACAATTTTTTGATACAGTCGGTACATTTTAATAGCGGTTCAAAAGACATACTTCGGAACCCTTTAAACAATTTAGCACACGTTTTCAATTATTACTACTTGTTAATGGCATGACAACATTTTGGAACCTTCATATTTTAAGGATGTGAGGCACTATTACAAGCCATTTTAAGTCTTGATGTTGTCATCAATGCATATTCATCCCGTACAGGCTTTCCAAGGAGAGAGGACATTCAAACATCTCTTTAAATCCATTGGGTGGTATTCTCTTAAGTTAAGCCGGGACTAAGTCCAGACTAAACAAGAATTTTAGTTCGCACTTCTATGGAATGCTAGGTTTCATCTTCCTCCTTCAATATTCATGACAAAGATAATCTACCAAGGACTTTGTTGAAATTTAGTTTATATTCATATTATCTTTTTCTTCCTATTTCAGTGCAAAATTAATTTTTTGGACACTTTTCATTGAAGGATTAAAATAATCTGTTCAGGGTAAATTAGTTCACAACAGGCACTCCATAAAAGTGTGAACTAACTAAGCACGCGCTAACTTAGTACGCGCTACCGGAATACCACCCCTAATCTTTAACCACTATTACAGGTTTTGTTTAAAATCTTTGTACATTAACATTCGTTTTTTTGTAATTGGTCAAGGCTTACAAAGAATTCAGCTGTATAAAACTTTTTCATTATTTGTTTTGTTTAAAGATCGTTTGTTGCATCCACTAACCGCATTTGTTCTAGTGCTTAACACTAGTGTTAGTGTTAGCATTTTCCATTTCCTGTAACTTGGTGAGAGCTTGCAAGTGATTGATATCATTTTCACAATAGTTCAGTGCCAGGGGGGGGGGGGGGTGTTTCACAAAGAACCTAAGTCAAACTTAACTTTAAGTTGGACTTAAACATTATGGAGAGCCATTTCTGATTTGTAGCCCATAAAATATATTCGAGAGCGAAAATTCCAAGTATTATAGACTTTTTATAAATTCTAACATCAAGAACATGAAATCTCCTTGATTATAGAGAATATGAATGATTTGAATCAACATTTAATGCCTTTTAGAATAACTTTTACAAAATATTTTCAAAGATGTTTAATGGCTTTCCATAACTTGTTAGTCCAACTAAGAGATAAGTTCAACTTAGGATCTTTGTGAAGCACCTTCCTGGCGTCCTTTCCATAATTCATCTTACCTCAATATTCAGGAAAATCTTGTCAATATCTGACCTGTCTAAGATCTTCTTCAGTGGTTTGATGAATTGCTGCAAGAAAAGAGGAAAAAAGTTGTGTAAAATCATCAGTCTCGACAAAAGGACGAATGGATACATAAAATAATAATTCCAATGGGTGGTATTTCGATAGCGCGTACTAAGTTAGTCCACACTTTTATGGAGTGACTGTTGCCAACTCATTTACCCTGAACAGATTATTTTAATCCTTCAATGAAAAGTGTCCAAAAAATTAATTTTGCAATGAGATGGGAAGGAAAAGATAATATGAGTATGAACTGAATTTCAACAAAGTCTTTGGTAGATTATCTTTGTCATGAATATTGAAGGAGGAAGATGAAACCTACATGTAGCATTCCATAGAAGTGTGAACTAACATTATTGTTTAGTCTGGACTTAGTCCCAACTTAATTTATGAGAATACCACCCAATAGCTTTGCTTGCATCTTTGCATATCCTTCTTTAGTAGGCCTATGTGGACAGCTATATTGCAATAATTTTAATAGTTTTATCTCTCTACTCAAAGTACAGTATCTGTTTGAACATGTATATGTCCTTTTATGTTGCTTTTATGGCATTAGCCTATAAAAAAAAACATTGTGTAATTAAATCAGCAGCACTCTAACATCTAAAGAGCGTGGAAAGAAAAGGAAAGCACTTTCAAATAGGCAGTATTACTGTACATTTCCTATCACATATCAGCTTTCTTGAGCAACGTTGTTGATCATAATAAGCTCATGAAGACCATAAACAAAGCCGAAGTGGAATGCAATGGAAAGTGAAAGAGGTGGGGTATTGAATACCGGTGCTAGCATTGTACATGTATGTCTGTGGAATTTCAAAGAACTCTGACTAGTGTTAAGCCACATTTATCAATTTCATTGGAGATCTTTTCTAGAAAAGATTGCAAAAATAGGACAGAATGTACAGTATGAATGTAGAAATTGGAAACCTGGGAACTAACTTATTCCACAACATACATGTATAATCACTATTACCATTCTTTCTTAGTCAGGGCTTTGCACTAACAGTAACCAAAATTTAACACCAGGGAATTGTTTCATAAAGACTAAGTTGGACTTAACTATGGCAGTCTGTTCATACCACTAGATAATAATTTTTCTATCAGTAATTAAGTATCAAAGAACGTAAATTCTGTCAAAAAGGACCATGATTTGTACGTCCCTTGAGAGAGCGATGCCAGTAAATGGTGAGAGAAAACAGTGGCATGAACGGCCTGCCATAGGTAAGTTCAACTTAAAGTCGATCTTAGTCTTTGTGAAACACTCCCGAACCCCATAATCCCCAATGGAAATGGAGCCCATTCGTAGGGCCTTGTAGACCCCACTAGCTTACCTCACAAAGCATGGACAAAGCTTCCACGTATTTCCCTTCTGTCTCGACTATCTCCGTCCGACAAAAATCACGCTTTGCTGTTTTAGGCTGAAATGACAACAAACAACCACTTTAAAAATCATAAATATTATAGAAATGATATTTAATAAACCTATAAATAATTAGAATATTGTTACAGAACTTATCTTATATCCTGCTTGCATATGTATAAATTCACCTTGTGATTTTCAGAGTGCATGCATTCTTGAAGTAGTTTTCACAGCTTCATTTGTTTTTAATTTCAGTCACGCTTAAATTGGCAGTACGAACATAGTTGAAGAAAAAAATGTAACCAAAGCAAACTTCCATTTGTAGCAAAAACATATTACCAAACAAATGCATTGAGTTTTCTTATCATTTAATTTATTTTTTAGAATAGGTAGCAGGACTTGTTTTTGCCATCGAAGCTGATGAAAAAACGACCTGTTAACAAAACCAAAGTTAATTTAATTTCAGTGTGATTACAAAATAAAAAGTAAATTAAATGTACAAAATTATAGAATTAAAAGGTTACAATTAAGAAATTATTAAAATATTAATTGACATCTTTCTTGAATCTGTCCATGTTAGGTGCAGGGGGAGTGGGGGGGGGGGGGAGATATTACATGATAAAAACTAGATGGAATTTTGACTGCGCGCAGTCGAAAATGATGCCTCCGCCATAGAGCAATTTAAACAAGTTTGGAGTTTAAATCTCCAGTGGTTCTTGAGATATCATGATAACAATCTCAATGTATGGAATTTCATAAGTTGACCTCTGTGACCCTTGACCTTTGACCTACGTGCTCCAAAATCTAATCAGATTGTCTTCCTATGGTGATACACACTATCATTAAGTTTGAAGTTTAAATCTCCAGTGGTTCTTGAGATATTATGATATGGTGATACATACTATCATTAAGTTTGAAGTGAAAATTCTCCAGTGGTTCTTGAGATATCGCGATAATGATCTCAATGTATGGAATTTCATAAGTTGACCTCTGTGACCCTTGACCTTTGACATACGTGCTCCAAAATCTAATCAGATTGTCATCATTGTCTTCCTATGGTGATACATACTATCCTTAAGTTTGAAGTTTTTACATCTCCAGTGGTTCTTGAGATATCATGATAACAATCTCAATGTATGGAATTTCATAAGTTGACCTCTATGACCCTTGACCTTTGACCTACGTGCTCCAAAATGTAATCAGATTGTTTTCCTATAGTGATACACACTATCAATAAGTTTGAAGTTTAAATCTCCAGTGGTTCTTGAGATATCATGATAACAATCTCAATGTATGGAATTTCATAAGTTGACCTCTGTGACCCTTGACCTTTGACATACGTGCTCCAAAATCTAATCAGATCGTCTTCCTATGGTGATACATACTATCCTTAAGTTTGAAGTTTAAATCTCAAATGGTTCTTGAGATATCGCGCTAACAATCTCAATACAAGGAATTTCATAAGTTGACCTCTGTGACCTGTGACCTTTGACCTACGTACTCCAAAATCTAATCAGATCGTCTTCCTATGGTGATAAATACTATTCCCGAGTCTTAAGTTTAAATCTTAAATGGTTCTTGAGATATTGTGATAACGGTCAAACGGGACGGACGTACGGACGTACGGACGGACAACCCGAAAACATGATGCCTCCGGCACCACCTTCGGTGGCGGAGGCATAAAAATCCAAATGTTGATAGAAAACAACTCCATCATGGGTGCCTTTAAATGTCACTTCCCTCTTCTTTGTTTTTAGAACATCGGCTTCAAGACATCCTATTTCATGCCGTATAAACTACCAAGTACATTTACACATTAATAGAGTAGGGTACTTAAATTTCAACAGTCTCCTAATGTTTCCTCAACTAGCAACGAAAGCTACACTACCCTTGTTCACACGACAGGTCTCTATCTTCCAGAACTACGTTTTTTCTGGAAGTTACACGGACAGCTCCTCGTTTGTTGACGTCTCTACCCTAAGCAGTTCAAAATCACACAATATTCCCACTCTATAAAACTGATCCGGAAACTGTTTGCGTAATTGTCCATTTGTATCTTCTAAGCACAAGTGAAAACACAATATTAAGTTTCCATGGTCAATTTTAAAGAAAAATTATGGCTCACTAAGACGTTTAATGTGAACGAGACTGCTCATACAATTACAGATAGAACCCCTCATCTCGAGTGTGTTCCCACAGGTCATTAATCACCTCGCTCTGGCGCTGCTGAGTCCTGTGGCTGGTGAGCTCTCGCCGAATATTGACCAGATCGTCGTAAATCTTGTCCCCTTCATCTTCGTCCACCGTGTCGTAAATGTCGCCCTCGTTTGCTAAATCATGCTCGCTGTATAAAAAATGCAAACACGTTTTTTAAATGACTTGACAAATGATGATCATTAACACACTGTGGCGCTATGGAGAACAGAGTGAACATAAGCTTTAATCGCGAGAAAAGAGAAAGAGCATGGTATTGCACGTCAATTGCATACAAGTACATGTATCGCTGTGTACATGAACTTCAGAAATACAAATATTTTTTGTAAGTGTACTAATCACCAAAATATATTATGCTCTGTGTATCAAACTGTTTGGAGGTTGATTTTATTCATTCTAGTAGTACACAATAGGTGAGTTAAACCCTTAATATGATAAAGTATGTACTAAACTACTATGTACTATATCTACCATTGTAGTGATGGTATTACACAAATTTGATTTGTAAGTGATTTCACGTTTGCAACTTTGCACCGACATTTGCAAAAGTATTGCAACTCTTTTGAAAAGTCCCAGCTATGAATCAAAACTTGAAACTACAAGCACCTTTAATCTACAATGTCTACGCACCTTTACATGACACGCCACTTTTAATTAATTGACAGCCATCCAATTAAAGTTAAAAGCCATTTACATGTGCATCGCTAAGAGCAATCACATTAAAAGCAAACATTACCATACCATATTGCCATTAGAGGTTATGAATACTTGTTTTCAGGGCATCGCTTGTGCATAAAATAAAAGTCCATCACTCCATACTTACTCGGCCAGATCCTCCAGCCCTCCATAAATGTCCTCTTGTTCCGTCTTGAAGGGTCTGAACGAGGGGATAAAATGGAGAATTTATAGCGGTAAGAAACAGCGCTTGTTACGACCAATCGTGCATGACGCTAACAGTGCCTATGGGCTACTTAGTGAAGTAATCAATCACCATTAGTTGCAATATATACACTGTATGCCCCTTATAGGAGAGGCTAAAAATTGGCCCCAAGGCTGCATTCAAACTGAACATTTATAAGACAGTGGGAAGGTCAATGTGACCCCCAAAAGAGTCAAATCATAATTCCGTGATCCTCGGAATTGATTTTACAATTCCCGGGATCCTAAGAATTGATTTAGCATTGGTGTCTTTATAGTATTTTTTAACTCTGGTATAATGGATAATTAAAACCAGTTAATTAACAACTATTTTATGGAAAACCATTGCGAGTATTTATGAGATGCTAGACGATTTCTTTACGATAACAATCACATCGTAACTATTAAAGTCAAGGATTAAGACACTCTTAAAGGATAAATTAGCAGAATTAAATAGACTACAACTGTATGTGCTGATATTGCGTGGGTAGGAAATGCGCTTCATCTACATGTATGTGTGATTTTTCTCTCAAAATTAAGGTTAAGATGTCTTCATATACTATTTTACATTTTCCTACATGTATGCTCTGTATACTCTTGAATGATGTCCTATGACAATAAATGTAGCCTTGAAATATATTTCACACTAATGTCAGCCTACATTAACATTTAGCCAACATGTGTAGTCCAAAAAAGAACTTTTCTACTTCTGATGAAATCAATGCAACCACAGTTACACAACTTCCAATCATTTCATTCTCTTTTTCTTGTAAGGAAAATAATATTCATAATGTTTTAAAGGTTTTGCTATTATGATTGTTGCATAGAATGATCATGACTAAAGTAATAATTTGGAAAGACATGTGAACTGTGCCATAAAATTTCTATACTATATAACCATGGTAATAATAATAATAATAGTATATTTCTATAATTTTTTACACATGGCATTTATGTATAAAGTGCTGTACTATTATTACCCTGGCATTTAAAGGTACTACATGTATGTCCCTTTTGCAGCCAACCTCAAATACTGTAGAACTTTGCAGGAATTATGAATATGTCATGTATGTCCTATCTGTGAAATTTAAACGTTAGCAGTGTCCTCATATTCAAATTATGCAAGGAAACCCATTTGCTTGCTAGACTTCACTGTCAGACACTATTGACTGACTAACTGGCTTTTTTTCTTCTTTGGTAATAACATACATAAAAAGAGTTATAAAGGGTACATGAGCATTTGTCTACATCAATAACCCATTTCTTGTGATGGCCAAGATTAAACTGATTGAATCTTTGCGCAGCATAAAACGTATGAACATTCGGTACAATTGTCTGAAAATCAAGACTATTTCTTTTGGGCTCTATAGCCCTAAAGTCGATTTGACAACTAATAGTCGTTATTTTCCCACTTGAAGACATTTTCAAGCCCCACCTTTTTTAGGGAAGTTCTAAATTAGTATTATCTTTCAAATGAAGTTGAAATTTAACTTTTTCATTTTTGGGGCCTGCAAATGGGACATAGTACCTTTAATAGCAGAAGTACCCTCACTGTACATGTACAGTGTATTATAACAAGATCATGAATTACTGATAACTTGACATTCAATGAATTATCCTTCGTGTAATTGTATGATCATGAAGTTATTACCCTTTTCACTCTCAGTCACTTTATATAGGGCAAATGTCAACCTACATTTGTAAATAAAAGGATTGAACACGTCAGATATACAGGACATGGTTTTTGCAGTGTGGGTGGGTCACGGTGTGAAACACGTACCGGTACCGCATACCGTTTTGTCTCATGCTTAGATTTCCCGCTGACAATCATCAAACAGTTGCTTTTCTTTAATTGAGAGCAGCAGAAGCTGGCAACTGTCCTCAAAGTGACAGCTTAAAGAGCTTATTAAATTGCTGTCTGATAATGTCAATAGTTATCATCATCACAGGCATGCTCCAGTATGGGGAGGAGATAGCACAGAGTTATACAAAGCACACATTATCTGATCTCAACCCGACGCAGAAAGGCATGAGTGGGGCACTGCTGTCAATACAAGGAAGTACATACACGTCTCATTCAGAATAGAGGTCAAAATATGTATAGACCTATAGATCATACATTTCCCCCCTTTTCTCTTTTTTTCCTTCTTTTCTCTTTTTTTCCTTGTCACCATGTCGACGCAATAAGGTTATTTTTTTTAGGACAATTTCTTGGTAACTCACAGAAAAGCTTCCTACTTTTAATAGGTTAGGCTAGATCCTTCAGCCTGAGAATCGTTATCCTTCATTTGAAAAAGATGTATTCAATCAGCTTATTCCTTTTGTAATATTTATGTCCAATCAATGTGTTAGTGATTTGTACTTTCAAACAGAATAGAAAAAGATGTATTAACAGCTTGTTCCTATTATAATACTAATGTCTAATGTGTTCATGATTTGTACTTTTGTTTTAAACAGTACATGAATAGTACAAAAATAGAAACACTGCTATCAATAGAAGTGAAGTGACTGGCTTTAATATCAAACTCACAGATTCAGAAAATATTTTTTTCAAATCATAGGCAGATGCATTCATACATGTACATGTACATACACAGTCCTCATACATCTTTTATGTGGGTTTCTTAGAAATATTTGGCTGTCCATTGTTATTAAATGTGAGATTATGTTACAGACTCTTTGACAAAAAGATTTGCACATCTGTATGTAATAATGTCAGATTTCATGCTTCTTAAAGGCACACTGTCCTACTTGTAGCTACTTACTCCCTCTATATAGAAAACTTCCCCAATCGGTGCCTGTTGGTCCCCCATGATCCTCTTTTTCTTATGTTAAATGAGAGCTGAGTTAATGAGAAAGCCACCTGTCACAGTGACCTCGATGGCTCACTGGGTGGTCTAATCCCTTCTTGCTGAAGTAGTAACGCCTCCCTTTAATATATATTTTGTTGTTTGGTAGATGGAATAGAGAACCTGTTAATTCTCGCTACCCTAAATAGGTACGAAAATCTCGAAATTCGCGAGACGAGGTAATTTTCACTCTCTCGGGTCGTCACTACAACTTCCGGTATAGAGTCCCATCCCGCTGGCGCTAGCGCCTGTGTTCGCTGTGCAGAGTTTTCACGCACGCTAAAATCGATGCCAATCAGTGTAATTTGTACAGATTATAATATGCAATGGAAAGCTTCGGGCAGAATTAGTGACTTTAGCACAAAAGGCCGTTAAACTCTACCGTGAAAGAGAGGGTTGTGATCACGAACGCCTGCACAGGAAGCTGTAATGTCGAAAAGCTATCCCATAATGCAATGCGCGTTTTCAGGATTTTCCCCGGATCTCGGCAGAATCGCTATTTGGGGTAGCGAGAATTGATTTAATAGGAAATGTTCATAATATGTAGGCCTAAAACTCTTCACTCATCCTTAACAGTACCAATGTATCCTATATGTTGTACTACGTGTTGGTTATATGTATTCTAGCCAATTGATCTATGATTCACTTAAATTTGATAAATTAGATGTTTCGATTTTGTAAACACCTTGCTCATCTAATGTTTAAAGTTGTCAAAAGAGAGTTGCCTAGTTAAATTTATATGCAATTTATAACTCAGACATTTAATTACAGTCTCAGGGTTGGTGATGTGCATTTTTCCATACCTCGCATAAAAACAAATTATGGAAAAAGATGTCTTAGATATAGGGGATCCAAATTATGGAATGTAATCGGGAAATCTTCATCTGTATACACACTCGCAGCTCAACAATTTAAGAAGTACATTATCTTCCTTGACTGGAAACATATTCTTACCCAAATGTACCCATACTGAATTTTCTTGTATATCTTATGTATTTAATTAATGTAATTGTTTATTTGCTTATCTCTTGTATATTTCATGTATCTAATTGTTTATTTCTTTGCTTGTTTGTTGATATGATTTGTAACTGTTTTTAAATGTGTGTGGACCCCTTTTAAAATCAACCTAAGTTGAAAGGGCAATCCACCCCACATGTGGAAATAAATAAATAAAAAAATATATATATCAACTAAGAATAGTATAAGACAGTCAACCAATTTTAAAGGATACTACATGTAGTTACAAATTTCTTTATGAAAAATTCTAATAACTTTAATGTTTATGCAATATGTTTCCCCCTTTTCTCTTTTACGTTAACTTCCTTTTTTGTAATCTTGATTTTATGTAAATCATGTACCAAAATTATTGTTATTTTCTCCATTTACATGTGTTTTTCATGATCATCCCACTTCAGATTATGTTTCTTTGTATTTTGAAGATTAGATAGTATGAATGAATGAAATGCACATGTGCTTTATAATACTGTACATGTACTTGGCCTCATTTTTTCTTTTAATTGAAAAAAAAGAGAAAAAATCTCACCAGAAGTGATTTCATAATAACTTCCCAAATAATGAGGCGGGCAATCTTCCAGACATGCATGGCCTCTTCAACCTCATATATTTCTTAACTCCACTTATAGGCTCCTCGGGGAAACCAGGACAGTAGAATGACTCAAGTCCATTATGATTGCATCCATGCATCACTCTTTATTTCATCAAGATTTTTCCCTTATGGGCTACTTGATCAAAAAACCTGCTTCCTTCTTCTTCATCTTCTTGCCTCCTCTTGGCCAATTTCATCCCTTCATCTCTTATCATTACCGCTCCTTCCCCGCCGCGCAACCTGTGATTATTAAACTTCTATCCGTATCCTGGTTGGCCTCAGGCTGGCGCGATATGAGAATCAATATACGGGATCCGAGGCATGAATTTGAAGGGTAATTTGGTTCATCAGCATAGATGCGGTAATAAAGGAAGAGCCTAGCTCCAAGGGTATATTAAAGGCTCTGCAATGATGCTCAGAGTCAATCAAGAATGGGGATGAGTTCATCATGTAGGACACACACTGGATGTTTACCATGGCAACCAGAGGAAGGAAAGTATCATATTCCCTATTCCAGCCTTTATGATTTATGGGGAAATGAGGTTTTATCTGTACTTTTCACAGAAAATCATAGATTTATTATTTCCTATTATAGTCTATTTAGCCAACAAAGTGGAATGGGATGTTCACTTTTATCTTATACATGTTAATTAAAGATAAACTTGAGTTCTGGTAAAAAGAGAAAATGAATTCTCACAGAATCTAACGAAGCTCACACTGAATGTTCAAGATTACAAATAAATGTCATGTGCCAAACAATTTTGGAAGAAAATGTATACTGGCTGAGTAATGAGCATAGAAATATAAGGAAATCAGGGTAGTACTAGCCCGACACCATGTGTGTTGTCCCATATACATCTTTCCGTGTAAGTGATTGTTACTTTACCAAGACTCTGCCAAATTTGTGATGATTTTGATGACTCAAGAACCTTGCATTACACACCATTACTTACATGCTATATGATCAACTTTTCTGATCCATTCCACACCTTTTCTTTCACAATGCAATCGCATTACCAGAACTCAAGTTTATCATTAACTCATCGATATTAAAGTAACAATATACGTATAGACACATTCTACTACAAGTTAGGCGAAAACTACTTCTACCGGTTCACACTGACAAATGTAGCTTTAAAAAATGCTTGACTCAATGACGAATTTGCAGGATTTGACACAAGGACGTCAATATTTGTGTCAAGTATGTCCATGTAGGCTTACTGTTGGTGTGTAGTGCTATTTATAATCCATCAAGAATTGTCATTAATAGGAAAAGAAGATACAACTTTTATAATGTATCTCATATTCATTTTTCAAAATAAACACTTCCCACATGATGTGTTGTTTCAGACTGATAATGGAACTTAAACATAAAGTGGAGCTATGGGATTGATGAAATATAATTACGCAAGCTTTCTCATTCTGTGTATGTAAAATATGACAAGAAATGGCAGAAGGGTTTACACCAAACTTCCATGACAAATGATTGTGTAGTCCCATGTACAAATTTCTGCATACAGTATATGTGACTTCCAGGAAAACTGACTCAGTTTCTTATCTTTTAGACGATTCTGAAACCTGACCATACACCCCGAGAAACATGTACTTGTATGTGATACATATTAAACAAACCTTTATAGAAATGGCTTCCAAAGAGTTTCTTTCACAATGCAATCACATGACCAGAACTCGGCTTTATCTATGTAAACAATTACTTCTCCAGACAGACCCTGCTACATCTGCAGACTGGAATGTTAAAGACTCCATTAAAGAGCTTCTTTTTGACATAAACATGTACATGTATTACTGCCATCATACAGGGTAGTTCCAAATGATCATAACAATGGTCTTACGGGTACTTCCTCATTTAAAGCAAGTCTGTCATGTTTCCTATGAAAACAAATTTGTGGAATATGTATTTTCCCTTTCCTTACGCATGTAATCACAGCTAGTGAACTATAAAAGATGAAATATAAAATATGTTTGCTTCCTTAAAGGGATCGTTTAACAATGTTAAATCTGAGATACACGGCCCTATACGTGTCAGTGTCTGTGATATGGTGTAATATTGAAGCCCTAACAAAATTGCGCTTCAAAATGATCAAGAAGTGCCTCAAAAAAGTAAAAATCTTTGAGTGACCGGTTTTACCATACTCGTTTTCCCCAATAGACTGTAGTGTTATGAAAACCGTCAGGCGAACGGTTTTCAAAATTTGTAATTCCAATCATAAATATCTTGATAATCAGACAGGCGATCGGCTTGTAAAAGTCATGGGGTTCCTGACTGACCTAAAGGTTTATAATTATCATTGCATCATGAGCTAAATCCAGAATTTTGTTTCAGAATCTGAGACAAAGTTACCGGATCCCTTTAAAATGTTATGCTGTTCTTTCTTGCTCTTTCTTCTTACAATGTTACGATTCCCTTATCCTACTTTTTATTCTCCCTCTTTCACTCATTTTCATTTCTCTTGTTGTTTTTTGTTTCATCCTATCATCTTCTTTCTACTAATTGTTGCCAAATTTGTGCCCTTTTCTTCAATATCCGCATTTGTTCCGTCTTCGTCATTTTTCAATATGTATTTGTAATTCTTTTCATAAATTTACTGAGGTGTCTTCAAATTTTATCAAAGTCTGTGGTTCAGCTAATCATAATTCACATCCATTTTTTTTCTGATTATTCTTCCAAAAATCCTGGTTCTCCCATTCCGTTTCTTTCATTTCAATCACATCAAATAAAGAATAAGTACAAATGAAATAGGAAGTAAATACACATGTATCTGAAGTGATTCTCTTTGCCTGTACAGCTTCTGTTTGGCTCTTTTAATTCTTTCTTTCATACAACGATGTGTGGGTGTGTGAACAATGGACCATCAACGGAAACTAACAGCCAATTATTACAAAAGAAGAAAAGGAGCGTAGGTGCATTTTGTTTCATGAGCAAATATTATAAATTATGGTAGTTTTACATTATTGACCTGTTTCTGATTTCACAACTACGGTATATTCCTAGTTGTGCTGTTTTATTGCAAATACGTGTGTCTTATTATCATCTTTATAGACAGGTGGGGAATTCCCTAATCTTTACCTACAGTGTAGCTGTAATAAGCAACATTTCATGAGCAAATAATATAAAGTACAGAACATATATGTCCATGTGGACTTTATAGATGTGTAGTGTTATTTACAATAATACATCAAGAATTGAAATTAATAGGGAAATGAGCAAATATTATAATTATGGTAGTTTTTTACATTATTGACCTGTTTCTGATTTTCACAACTATATTCCCAGTTGTGCAGTTTTATTGACAAAACGTGTGTGTCTTGTTATCACCTTTATTAGACAGGTGGGGAATTCCCTAATCTTTACCTACATGTAGCTGTAACAATGAGGTCATGACCCATAGAAATCTTCCTACACAGCCAAAGTTGGGCTTGATAAAGGAACTACACAATAGGCCTATCCTCATCAGCTCGAGATTGCCAAATATCCTGCTATTTGAACTATCCCGCTATTTGAACTATCCCGATCGCAAATCATCCACTTAATTTACTCTTCATCAGCCCGAAGTTGCAATTAGCGGGATATTTGGTCGAGATAATCATCCCAAGATATCTTGGGCTAGTTTGCAAAATATCCCGCTATTTGGCCGGTGCATCTTCACCAGCCTGAAAACTCGCACTATGCCCGAGCGCTGAGCAAAATTTCTCGAGCTAATTTCTCGAGCTCGAGTTTCAAATTTCGAGGTCAAGTCTCGAGCTGATGAAGACGCAATTTGTAACTTTGGAATTAATTCCCAAATCAGAAACAGCGGGCTATTTGGCAATCTCGAGCTGATGATGACAGGCCTATAGATGTATCAAGAGATATCCAGGGTTGATATATTTTCCTTTTAATACAGACCTTCCGAGACAGGATGAGGAAGTCGCGAGTGGTATTTTGCAACACCGGTGTCGAGCCAGTCACGAGGAGGGTATTCTGGGCTTGGACTGGGTTTAATACTTGGATTGAAAAACGCCATTTTGCTCATGGAACATGGACTTTGACCTTTGATATAATGTTTCCTTCTTTCATTGTTTCTATCACAATAAAGTATGCAATGTTTTTTTCTTTATTTGTATTGTATGTGATTGTGTTGAATCAGACATTTTGTTTACATTGGTACATGTACATGCATGTTTATGGGTTATAAATATTGCAGGGAAGCCATTTTTCACCTAGGAAATTTTGTTATCATTGATATACTTTTGCAAGGTTTTTCTAAAAGGAGGGAACAAATTTTAAATCCTCTGCAGTTGTAATCTCATTGTTTTTTCTTTCGTGTCAGTTCTTAAACACAGATCAATGGAAGTCAAGTTCTGGAAGCCTTAAAAAAAATATTTACAAAATTCTTTTTTAAGAAAGTCAAGTATATCAGTTTAACTCATAGTATCCTGACAGTAGGAGAACTAAACATAGAAATAGACTGTATCGATATAGAAATGGAAATGTTAAAGTCTAGTTGAAAGCTTCAAAACATTTAAGCAGCCTCTGTTTTGTATGTAAATTGTGTACTATTTATAAGAAGGTGAATGTTGCTCTTCCAATTTTCAAGTGCCACATACTTGGCTTCAGATTGAGATTCTAAATGAAATCCTTGATGAAGATAGAATACAACAGCTGCTTGCTTGGATACTTACTGTGCTCCCATGCGGATGGCATCGTCTGCTTGTGAGAGTTTGGACAGCAGATCGATGAGCTGAATAGAAGAAAATGAAAATACTGGTAGGCATGAGAAATTTCAAATAATTTTACAATGACATCACAAACACCACCAAAAAAGGAAATGGAATTGAGGTCGGCTTGCCCTAGTAAATCTGCATCGAGTCAATGCACTACAAAACAACAATGAACATTATATCATGGTTCAGTCCTGCACAAAAGTAACCATAAAAAAATAATCATAATCATATCATTAAAATGTATACTACATTTACTACAATTACTACTGCTACTACTACTAGGACGACGACTACTGCTACTACTACTACTACTACTACTACTACTACTACTACTACTACAACAACAACTACTACTACTACTACTACAACTACTACTACTACTACTACTGCTGCTACTACAACTACTACTACTACTACTACTACTACTACTACTACTGCTACTACTACTACTACTTTGAATACTAAAGGTATTTCCTCTTTGCCTCTTCCCTGTTATTCCCAATATCTCCCAGTTCCAAATATTATGGTTGCAAGCATTTCATTCTCGTCATCACATTTTAATCTTTAACTTCAAGCACAAAATTACGGTGTCTTTTTATTTTCTTACCGATCCAAAGTTTGACATCTGGAAGAGCCATGCTGGATCAAAGAAGTCCGCTTCTCGTATCTTGAATACCCTAGAACAGGCTCGCAGGAATGTTCGGATGTTTTTCATACACAAGAACTGTTGAAGAAGAGAGTAAAGATATATAACGTAACCTTATTGGGTATAAAGACTGTGACATGCTTTGCAATAATATTCATCAAATTATTTTTTTTGAAGTATTTGCAAAGAAGAGAAATGAAAATAAATGTTGGAATTCATTAGAATAGTAAAATCGTGCAATAATAACTATGAAAAATATCCAGGAGTAACTCAAAACAGCTATAGCACTTTATACAAAATCACAGATTTGAAGAGGAAAAAAATACATCAAACAAATTCTTGATTGAACTAAAATGATAGTCTCAATATTCTGGGCTAAATGTTATCAGTTACATACTCTCAAAAGCACTCTGTCTTCCCTTATCTTTCTATTAATGGATTAGTTTCACAAAATATATCATGACTACTAATGAGTTTATCATGGCTATTAATAGGATTTAATTAAGCCTGGGAATGCCCTAATCCATTTAGTAAATGAATCACAATGTTTCAAATTACAGAATGAAATGAGATACGTGGTATTAATCAATCATCACCACTTAATCTAATCACATTTCATTACAGCAGACAAACACACATATGATTCTCATATTCACATGGATCAATCGTCGACGTCATCCTAAATCTGTCCACACACATTTTGACCAGTGGTATTAATTAGTCAGAGCAGCCTACTGCACTTATGACATGGTGTTCAGGATTGGATTCGGGTAAATATTTAGCATCTCATCACAAACCTGACCAGATTGAATTAGTGCTTGTATTATGGAGGTGGACTTATGACCCAGATTAGGCCATAGCACAGCGACTGCTGTTTTGTCATATTCGGCTTGAAAGTTTACAAAAACTTGCATGTGCATGGACCTTGTATGTACATGTAAGCTGGTAATCTTCTCTGGTATAATTCATAAATAAAATAATACAGTAATAATAACAGAGAGGGAGGAAGGGCGCGAGAGGGAGAGGGAGAGGGGAGAGGGGAGAGGGGAGAGGGGAGAGAGGAGAGAGGGGAGAGAGGGGAGAGAGGGGAGAGAAAGAGAGAGAGAGATAGAGAGAGGTGGGTGGTAAAGAAATTGAAAGACACCGAGACTGTTTTAGAGAGAGAGAGAGAGAGAGAGAGCACTACACTACTGGAAAAACCCATATTAAAAATCTGTCAGTATTTAATTTATTTTTAAAACAAATTTTGGTGTGAGTTGTGTGCATGTTCCTCTTGTCGTTGCTCTGCATGCACTAGCACGAAAGCGAGGAAAGTCATGTGACCCAAAACTGGATTAATTCACCGGTGTTTTGAGAGTCAGCATTCACACTGCAAAAAATGGTGGAGTTCCAAAAGACCACACTCCAGATGTGAGTCTATTGAGTCAGGTTTTCATTGTGTGGAATGTGGAACGAGAAATGAGGGGAAAAAAACAACGGTTTTTGCTTGCAATGCAAATGCCCCTTTAATGAGAGATAGAGAGACAGAAATAGAAAAACAGATACAGGGTGATACAGAGAGATGGAGAGTCAGAGACAGAGTGATACAAGACAAGGAGAAAGAGAGTGAGAGACGGAGATGGAGAGAGACAGAGACAGAGACAGAGACAGATAGAGAGAGAGAGATACAAGAAATGGAGAAAGAGAAAGAGAGACAGAGAGAAAGAGAGACAGAGAGAGAGAGACAGAGAGAGAGAGACAGACAGACAGAGACAGAGAGAGAGAGTAATACGTTGGGATGATGACTAGGAAGAAGAAGATGTGGGGTGATGAGTCAGAACGCCAAGAATAGTTCAGAAAAACACGTCCAAGTGGAGGAGACTGATTGAAATAGGAGTAGCTCATCGATGAGAGGTGACTTGGTGGAGCCAACATGTATCAACTGAATGAATCTCTTGCTCTTCATCTCTCTCCAGAATCTGTTTACAAACATCTTATATGCCACTCTTACTTTTGCCCCATCGCTCTTCACAATCACCTTTCATTTTCTCCACCTCTTTGAACTTTTTTTTTTTGTATTCCTGTGTCTACAGTATACAAATCTACTTCCTTAATTCATTTTCCGGAAACCTTTCTTCTCATCTCTTTCTTCTTTCTCTTTCAGCTTTTACTTTTCTTTTTACAGTAAAGGCTTTCTACAACTTGGTTCATGTTTATCCCCACCCCTCCCTGAGGCTCCCTCAATCTCTTCAAAATAAAAACTGTTTCCGACAGGTTCTCCCTCCCACTTTGCATCTCTCTCTCTCTCACTCTTGTCTTTCTGTCTTTATCCCCTCCCATCATCTCATTCTTGCCATCTCTCTCCACTCCCCACTCCCCTCTCTCTTTTTCTAGAGCTCAGTTGTTTCTTGATGAAAGTACAGATGATTGATACAAATGGGAAAGTCTCCGCAGCGGCCAAGCCAACATGAGAGAAACTGAAAGATATTGAAAGTGCACTGCTTATCGACATTGACAGCATCTCATTTTACGTGTGGTATCTTTTCTCACGGTTTCTCGTGCTCCTTCCCATCCCAAGCTAATAGGAAGGTCAGACTCGAGAGAAATGAAAAGACGAGGCTGAATGCAACAAGAAATAACCTCAAAAGTACAGGATGTGATGGCCGTGATAACGATAGATGAAGAGAAATTGGGTTGTAATCAAATCTGGAACCCTAAACAGTACAACATGCACATCTGGGCCCTGTCTTATAAAGAGTTACGATTGATCCAAAATGCCAGATCAAACATAAGTCCTCTAATCAATCGCAAGGGGTAGTCTCCTATCTCTTTAATATGTTCATACATGTACATGTAGATGTAGTTGCGATTGATATCAATCGTAAATGAGTAGCGATTGATTCAACTCTTTATAAGACAGGGCCTCAAAACAATCAAACAAACAAAATTAAATGTTTAAGTATTTTAACACCGAATATACAGTGTACCTGTACATGTACATGTGTAACTGCATTTCGTTATTATTACACAAAATGTATAAAACAACATGTAATTCCATAAATTGTACAAACTAATTTATTAAAGTTTTTTTTTCCATTATGATAAATTTGTCACATCATCTGCAATGTGAATTTTGTAAAGATTAACTTTGCTCAGTTTTTGTTTTATTAATGATTTATATTTGCTGATGTTGCTGCCCACCAACTTTTGTACCAATTCTCTAATACTAGTTCAGGATTGAATGTGCTCCCTTAAAATTATCAGCTCTTGAAGAATTTGTCATGAGCTGTAACATTCTATAAACACTGGCATGCCAGCACATGGCCGTAGCATAAACAAATGAATCACATGACATGTAACATAACATGTTCCTCCTCATTAGTCCACTGATTCGGCTGTGACATGTTTTTGTGTGTTCCCAGAAGGCCTGTCCTCATCAGCTCAAGTTTGCCAAATAACCCACTATTTTAACTTAAACTGGTCGCAAATTAATCAATTAATTTCCGTCTCCATCAGCCCGCAGTTGCAATAGCGGGATATTTGGTCAAGATAATATCCCTTGAAATCTTGGTCTTGTTTCCAAAATATCCCGCTATTTCACAAATAGCGGGCTAATTTGCGCCCGTCTGAGCTAGTTTGTGATGAGTGTATACATTGGTCTGGAGAAGATGCAATTTCGCAAAGTAGCGGGTTATTTGGCAAACTCGAGCTGATGAGGACAGGCCTATTGTACATACACTGTAGTAAGCAAGCAAGCCAGCACTATGAAGTGATTACTGTATCAGTGGTGGCACGTGAGTCGTGTATGGACTATTTAAAAGAAGTGAAGAAATAATTACAGTTAGATGTACATGTATGGTGGATCCATCCAGCCATCTGGATTTTCATAAACCACAAGAATGAATGAATGAACACATTATCTTGCAAAATATGAACAAGCCAATACAGATACATGTACATTGTGCATGTCACATTGGCCTCATTCATACTAAATCCCACTTCTTACAAACTAAGATACCTTGAAGATAGGTGGTGTGAACAGAAATCTGAAATGATAAATAACCCCTTTGAAATCTAGGGCAAAACACGGATGACATTTTTCAACTTCCCAAAACATACTCGGGGCAATTTGAGTGCAGGGACATTTGAACAAGTAGTACCCAGTACTGTTTTAAAATGCCCTCCATGTACAGTACATCACTCATTCTGCTATTCTTCATTATTTCTGCAGGATTTGGCAGAAATATATACATGTAGTCTGTCAACCTTCCTGTGGTCTGTTTATTCCAGAAAGTAATCAATGTTGAGGTATAGGGCCTGTACATCCGTAAAGATAAATAAGGCTTTAAACAAAAAAGAGGTGCAATTGTAAAGTTATGATTAAGAAAAGTACATGCACATGGGCAAAGTGCGTTTTTGTCCCTTTTCATAGAGATATTATATTATAATATTGCACCAATAATATTCATTAGATATTGTCTGAGAATTCATGGCTGAGTTTGACTAGACAACCACAGGCAAGCAATGATTGATTGTATAAAGCTTCTTGTATCATCCAGGTTCCCAGAATATATTGTGTAAAATGGCTACAATTCATGTCCATGTAGGCATAGAGAATTGCACTGTTCATTGTTCAGTATTATGGGTTTACCATGTCGTGTTACTGCCAAATCACTGTATCCGTAACATGCAAATAATCCTAATTTGATGTACAAATGATACATCTTCACATATTCGCAGAGGCAGGCACCCGCTTGCACGCTCGAACCAGTTCCACGAAAATGGATTTGGATTATTCGTCTAACAACCCCCGCTGTGGCCGCGGCACGATTTTCGGCAAGCCTCGGTTTTCCAAAGATTTTATTGGATTACGAGCAGTTCTTGGCATTGGGGGATATGGTGTGAAATGATACACCATCCAATGGGTTTCTCCGTACTCATTTAACCCTTAGAGTCCAATATTCCATTACCTTGATTACTTAATGGCACACAGGGGGTTAAGCTTAATGAACACACACATCTGGTATGCCAGATGGATACGAAGGCAGGGAAGATTTCTTACTCACTAGGCCTGTTTTCATCAGCTCGAGATTGCCAAA